CGCCCCCCTCACACCTCTGCTCGTGTCACCTCCTCACCTGCACCCCTCACCTCTCCCTGCGCTGACAAACCTGCTCTGAGCACCTGTACGTGTCCCTGCAGGCACCAGCCACCAGCTCCTGCTTCCCCTACACCTGCCTGCTCCTGACAGCTTGTCCTTTGTGGCTCTTTATTCCTCTTCCCCCAAATAATCACAGAAACTCATTTAGGAAACAAGAATAATACATATACAGAGAACAACATACTGGAAGATACTGGTAAAAATGAAAAAACCTCACAAGACAAAGACTAGGGTAGTTCAAATATCCCAGACCTGTTCTTTGGACTAATTTTAATTTTTCCTGTGCTCTACCAGGCAAATTTCAAAGTGATCACTCCAGTGATACTCACAACTCCAGTACTGTCAAACCACACAGCCAAGCATTGGGTGTCACTTACCGACATCATAAATACTTCTGGGTTTATATCAGAGCAGAGGAAACCAGGTAATTCTGCTGTGAAAGCTGACCATAACTATCAGAACCCATTTGAAAAAGCAGGATTTATATGATTTTTCTTTTGCTGGCTACCCCATTAGCATCAGTTTTCCTTCTGTATGGACCAGCTGCTGCTGAAACAAACCTGAGTCACAGGGCAGTCAGAGCTGGCTGCCAACATGAGCACTAAGGATGCTAATCCATCTCTTTTATCACTTTTTCACAGTTTGCCCAAACCCCAAACCTTTTAGGCACTCCTGAAGAGATGGATGTGCTTTTCCAATTCCCTGGAAAACTATTCTGCCATTCAGACCAAGGCAGTGTTGAATAGTTTCAAATACAGATTCACTTTTTATTATTTTCCCAATCCAACAGAGAGGGAAGACACAGTAAAGGGGATAGAGACCTGTGTGTTCTCAGAAATAACCTCACTATGCATTGGGAACATGTTACAGCTTTTTTGAGATAATGTTTTTTTCTGTAAAACCCATGGAGTTACCCACAGCATGGAGAACAGAAAACATTTTTGCCTAGCCCTTCATTCTCAGGTATCTCCAAAGAGTGTCTTTAAGTACACAACATTCAGTATTCTTTGCACAGAAGGCAGCTCACATTCCTAAGCTTATTCCTTGACTAATGCTAACCAAAACTACCTGTAAAAAATGATTATTTCATTACATCGTCATAAAGATCACAGAGAGAAATCACTCAGGCAGTTTGACCTTGGTTCTTTCTAATATTTCCTACTGCATTTCAAACTCCTGCTGATGAGAATCTACCTGCATTTCCATGCTTCACAGAGCCATTTGAAAAGGAACATTTCAATGCTCCTGTGACACAATTGGATGAAGGTTCCTTCCCCCTTGAAAGGTCCCCCCCCAAATTTCTAATATAATCAACCAGGATTTGCAGGCAAAGGGACTGGTACAAAAACAAAGCAGAATATCAAGTTAGTTATAATATAAAGTTAGTTATAAAATTTTCTTTTGCATCCCAATTACATTATTGCTGTCTACACTTCTGATGGCAGAGGATGAAAAGAAAACCACTCACTCTTATTAAACACACTACCAGTTTCTTTTCTATTTCCAGCCTTAAAGAGTTCACTTAGTTAAAAAACAATATATTTTATTCACAGCAAACAATTTGCTGCTGGTGGTAGAAGGAGTCTTGAGTAAAAAAGAGATAACTCAGGGAAGCAAGTCCTCTGTTCCAGGGGGAAAGAGATTTCAAGTCAGCCATACATTGCCCTCCATATTTGTAACAGTAGGTTGAACAGTAAGAGAAAATTTTAAATGGAAAGATGTATTTTTCTATTTAGATATATAGTTAGTATTTTATATTTTTTTATTGTTTAATGTCTTTTTCATTGTGGGACAACTCCACTCCTACTCCTGTATGAACCCCTTTAGGGAGGCATTTCTCTTTACAATAACTCCCAGAGACAAGGCAGAAATGAAGGTACAAATCCTGCTACCCCCAGCCCCTCATTTCTGACCATCACAAAGGACTGGTTTTCTCAAAAAAAGACAGCTTTTCCCAAAACTAAGCCCATGTCAGACAGCCCATCCTAACAGCTCCGTACTAGCTTGTTCCAGTTTAAAAAAGAAAACACAAAAGGCTTAAGAATCATCTTGTTTCCTACTTATCCAGCCTTTATTTCCAACATAAAACCTTATTATAACCTTCTCTGATGGGCTGGAAATCTCCTTAGTGCTCCTTATTCTCTGCTTGCAAAGGCATTTTTGATCAAAAGAGGTGACAAAAGACAGTGTTACCAGATGAACTGAAGAAGTAGAGCCTGAGCTTCACATTCTCTCTCTTGGAAAGCTATTTTTTCCATCCTTATGATTTCCCAAGTTCTTTTTGTCTTTCCAGTTGACTCAGCTGTGATTCAGAACAGGTTCAGCTCCCCATGGAGCTCATCCCTCCAACACTGACACACAGATTACTTGTCCAGCTGTCCACACTAGGAGTCCTCTCACGCTGCTCCCCTCCTGTTCCTTCTGTCATTTCTCTCCCAACACCATGCAGCTCTCTTCTCCCTCAACTTCAATCTCCCCTTCAGGGTCAGTTTCGGAGGGTACAAACAGCAGGACAATGCTGAACTCCCAAACCAACCCTTGTCAAACTCTTCTATATCACACCTGCCACCTGCAGCATCCTGTGCCATGTTCATGGCCAAAACACTCAACAAGAACGACACCAGCAGAGTTTGCCACCTGCCCTCGTGTCTCTGCTGCAGCCAGCACGGGCCTTATGAAGACTTCATGCCCCAAAGCACCCCAGGTCTCACCCACCCCAGGGCTCCAGCTGATGTCACTCCTCCATGCAACAAGGAATGACGCCAAATGTAGAGCAGGGAATCCCAACCTCTCCATGCCCTTGGTAAATCACCTCCAAAAAACTTCAGCAGCTCTGCTGATTCCCTGGAACAGCCGCCACAGCTGAGAAAGACACAAACCCTCTGAGATCCAGTGTACTGAGACAGGGACATTCCTGCTGCTCTCACAGTGACACACTGCCTTCTCCACAGGCTTTGAGACAGGGACACCAAGACTGCAGGGGGCAAAATCAACCCCAAATTGATACTAACAAATGATTTAAATAAGGAAAATAACCACTTGTTTCTCCAGAGATACAGGTGGGCAAAACACCCACATCAACAACTTCAAACTTCTGTAGTGGTCTCAGGGGAAAGACACCAAAATGCTCCAAAAAGCACATCAAAAGAAAGTAAGAAGTTGTTGCGGTGCACTGTTGTTCATTATATTTGATTCAATTACATTCTTTATTGTTAAGTTACACCACCCCCCATGTTAATACTTTGTTCCCAGTTGTGCCCTCCTACCCCGGTTGCCAATCCACCCCGATGCCTGCCCCTTGTTCTCGAATGTTCCTTGTTCCCCTCCCATTAAGTTGTCAATCCTCCCTTGTGCCACTCCCCTGCCTGGACCGCCCCGTTTGGAATTCCCCTGTTCCTCCAGGCCCCACTGGGCCATGTGCCCCCCTCTCCTCCCCTTGTGTTCCCCATTGGTTTGTGTATTATGTAATAATGCATAAACCAGCCTTGTGCTCCTGCCCTAAGTCTTTCCTATTGGGTTATTATTTGTACACTCCCCTTGCTCCTCCCCCACGCATAAGTTGCTGTATCCCTGTATCTTTCGTCTTTCTTCCCTGGAACCTTCAAGAGAATAAATCCTTTCTGGAAGGCCCATGGAAGACCTCTCCCTCGTCCTTGCTCCTGCCCTCGAGGCTGGACAGCCTGTGCCATGGAGCATCAGCCCTAAGCTGCCCTGCTTTCCAGGAGCGGCCCGCTCTGGGCTCGGTGCCGGGAGCTGGCTGGGGAAAAAATCCGGCACCGTGTCAAGAAGTGACTCAACAAAATCTGTGCCCCTCCCCACCACTTTATGGAAATCTTCAGTTTGGGTTTACTAGCACCAACTTTGACTTACTTTATGAAAACTGCTAGGGTCATAAGTAGACATTCCTTATGCTTGAGCTGGTTAAAGCATTACTGAGTAAAAGGATAATTTACTCCCTTAGGAACCAGCAGCTTCACCAAACCAGGAACCAAAGCAGACACACCAGTGAGGTTCCTGCTTTGGTACATTTCACCTCACCAACAGCTACAGAGCTACTAATGCTACAGGATTTTTTCCTTCTACATCCCAAAAAGGCAGTGGTTTGCTGTCCAGATCTAGTTCTCTTGCCTTGAGAGGATTACAAAACAGCTCCTTGCTGTTATTTTTCTCTACTTTGGCTCAATTTGCAGTCTTCCAAGAAAAAGAACCCAGCAAAAATTACTAGTCAAAGGATCTCCACCTGTGAGAAGGAAGCGGTTTGGAAACCCAGAGCAGAGAGGGCCAGAATGGTGGACTGGGATTGTGGATGTGTGCTCATTCCTTGCTGTGCTGCCTCTGCATCCCTCAGCAGCGCTGACCGCGGACACGGCGCACCCGCAGCAGTGGCTTTGTCCTGCTGCTGACACAGCAAGGGACCAGTGGGGGCTTTCCAAGTCCCTAATTCTTGTAGGATACTTTGACAGCATTTCTGAGGCTGGCATTGTCCAACAAGCAAAGGTCAGCACACCCCCAGCTGTGCCCTCTCCCAACAAAGAACTCACTCCAATTCCACTCAAACAACGGCTCCCAACCACGGAACCACCAGCCCCTGTTCTGAGGAAGGTTAATATTAAACACCAAAAAGAAAACTTTAGTAATAGCTGAAACTGAAGTTGAGCAACAGATAATAATGACTGGAATATTGCTGTGTATCACTGTTAATAAGCAGTTTGGAATTTAAAAATATATATTTTTATATATTGCTGCCCATATATCCCTTAAGATTATTCCAAAGGACAATTTTTAAAAAAATCGATTTAGTACTGAATGAAAAGAGCCAGACATTTCTAGAAAGCATTTATCTGGAGTAATTTTAGTCTATGTCCTCCTCCACATTTGGAGTTCTCCAAAGACTGTCAGACACATAGCAAAAGGTATGTCCTTCAAGGAGGGCCACTTACTCCACATGTCTCATTCTGCGTTTGCATGGGGTTAGCCTTTGGCTCCATGTCTTGCCTTTTTTGGTTCTGCTTCAGTTGGTTTAAAGAAGGTTTTGCCTGTGCAGCTCCAACAGTTTTGCTCGTCCACTGGTCCACCAACTTGTGCAGGTCGTCTGTGAACGTCCCTTTCTTGTTGTTACTGTTGTTGGCCTGAACCTGCAGCGTCGACTGCGGCAGGGGCTCAGGACATGTCACCAGGCTGTTGGTCGAGGATCCTGGAAAATCACACAGATAGCTGAGATGGTGTCTCTGCCTCACCCCTGCAGCTCAAACCCCTTCTCACCTACTGCCACTCCAAGGGTGGCTTTTTGGATTTCTAACCCTCCCCCCCTCCTGGCTGCAGAACACCTTTGCTTGAAGAAATGGTCCAAGTCCAATGGGTTCGCATTTTCTACATCATGTTACCTCGGCCACTAACTCGTCTTGAGTGAAATTAGGGACAGGGAGTGAAGCCAGGAATGCAGTTCCATAAAGCTGACATTCCATACATCATCTCCTCAGAGACTACCGTGAGGAAGAGGGAGATGGGATGTATTGCTAACACTGCAAGTAATTATAAAATTAATTTACCATTTATTTTACTTGCGTAAGTTTACTGTCCTCCTGGAAAAATGTCATTGCCATAGGGGTTACAGGCAGGGCTGGCTCCTGCACCTCAAGGGCTCTGGAAGCCCACCACCTCTCTCGATGATGCCAGGACCACTCACATGGCTTTTTGTGCATTTTGGGGGAAAAACCCCAACAGGACCATGAAATTATAGAAGAGAGAGGAGAAAGGATGTAGTGGGGGGGAGTGACTGTTTGAGACAAAGATAGAGAACTTTTGATATAGATAAAAGAAATCAGGAAGACTATTGATAGAGGTTTAATTTTGTATGTTCACTTCTTTCTAGAAGAACTAGTAAAAAAAATAAAATTCTGTCCTTTTTCTGCTTAGTGACTGCAAGTCTGACACAGCAAGCTCAGCAGAGTTCTGCAACTGAAGGAGTCTGAATCTGACCAAAGTAGAAAATGCAAAGTAACTTCTCAGCTAATACACTTGAGATAGCTAAAGACTGGAAATAAAGACCATCTCTCCAAGCAAAAAAGTTCACAGAACTCTAGTAAAATTATTACATAAGCAAACATGAACACTGAGTATTTTCTCTGTTAATCAGTTACCAGCCAAATGAAACCAAGTACACTAATTAGTCCTACAGTTATATAAAACACATTAATAACCTCTAAATGATCATGCATTCAACCTGTAACATCACTTCTAAGTGAATACTCCTCAATTCCTTTTCCTTTACTTGGGGCAAAAGTGAGAAAAGTAAGGATTTTGAGAGGAAAGCTCTTCAATTGGTGTTTAATATTTCATGCAGCTCAAGTGGCCTGGGATGGTTTTAAGCTATCAATTCCTCCAGCAGAGAACTGCAGTCATATAAAGGTGTGTATTTCAGAGACAGACACTGGACCCAGTTTCCTGGCCGCATGCGTGCACGGTCTCAAACACAGAACACCACGACTCTCTTGAAGCATGCGAGATTCCCAAGACATCACAGCACATGCATTACTCTCAAAGTATCACAATTTATACAGTCTAGTTTCATATAAGTGCATCAGCTCTAGTTATTAAACAACTAGCTTTTAGTAAAAAATAATAATAATAAAAAAGCAAAGAGCATCCCATGCCATGAAGGAAATACTGAGAAACAAAAATGGGATAGTTACTACTACTGTGATCTTTGCCTAGACATAGTCGTTTCAAGGTGGACCCTACAAGGTAAAACAATACAAGACACACAGAATTAGGTAAGACTAAACACAACAAATCGGACGGACAAGCTTCTGTACTTTTAAGCAATCAAAAAGTAGTTATTATGCAAGAAAGGACAGACAAAGTCAGCAGTTCAGGTGAGTAAAGGAAGCCTAAATAACTGGACAGCTCAAACCTTCCTTAATGTGCAGCCATTCAAAAGCATTGGAAAGTACCACAGCATGCCAAAAGCAAGGGCTCGTGACTTAAAGATGCATTTGTTTGGGATTTTTTTGGTTGGTTTTTAATTTTTTTAAAAATTTTCTTTCTTTTCCTTTTTTTCTTTTTCTTTTTTTTTTTTTTTTTTCCCCAAATCGCCTTGGCTTTCTACTAGAAGGTTTTGATTTGTTTCCTATTAATGCAGGAAATGATGTCAATTTAGTTTGTGATTGGAGGCCAAAAATGCTTTCAGGAACAAGTCAAGCTAGTCTGGCTGCAAAGACAAACCATAAAACAACCCCAAAAATCTTGTTTTACAAGTCCAAAAAGATACATTGTTCTGCAGGTCTGAGGCCAATTGTTTCCAAATAGTTTATTTGTAGGATTTGTGTCTAAATGTGAGACTCTGAACTTCAATTGAACAGAACTGTGAATGAGTTTCCCTTATGCCTTGTCCAAGTGCAGAAAAATAATCCATCAGGGTAGCCGAGTTTTAATTTAACTAAACTAGGTGTTTTTTTCATTATTATCTCATTCCATCCTTCATCATGATTTTACAGGCTGTTGATAGAGAGCAGAGTGCCAGAAGTGTGCCGAGACCCCGACTCGACTGTCAGATCTTGCCAGACATCGGCACCGTTGCTATTTGGGTGCCAAATTTCCTGAAAGGTATTTTGGACTTGGTAAGAAGAATATTGTTATGGGATGGGGGGAGATGAGTGTCTGACATGGGCTATGGTGGGTTCATCGGGAAGAAGCACTTGAAACCATGAGCAAAATCAGACTGGGGCAAAAAAGTAAGATACAGGATGGATGTGCTTTTTCTCTAGAGTAAACAGTGATGTTAACATTTTGTTACTGTGCCAGAAATGCAGCTTTAAACTCAGAGATTGCAGGTCCAGGCTGACACAGGCCCTGAATGAGTCTTCAGAGGAGAAGGAAGCGATTTCAGTCAGAGACTGAGGAAGAGAAAGTAAAGAAACGAGGAAGGGAGGAAGTAAGGGAGAAGAGATGCTTGTGCTTAGATATGGTTGGCATGAGGAACAGAGAACTGCTTTGAAAGAATTTATTATTATTTCATAAAGTCCATACAGGTGTCTACCCTGGGAAAATCAGGACATGACTACAACAGTACAAGCATGACCAGGTTCAGTTCCCATCTCAGAGCCCAGATAGGAAACAGTCACATTCACAACTCAACCATCTGTCTTGTATTCTTGTATCTTTTGCCCTTTTCTCCCTTAGATACACCTTACCTTGCCTATCCCAAAGTCAGCTACCAATTCCCACAATGGAAACAAGTCCCCAGGGTGGTGGTGGCCACAGCAGCAATCCTAGAAGGACATTTCCTGCTATTTCCCACAGCAGCAGGCACTTCTGAGCACCATATGAGTGCAAATGGAAAGCACCTGCCTGCGAGAAATAAAAGCAGGCAGCTGACTGCAGTACATGCTCAAATGCATGTAAAAACACCTTCATCACCAACCCCTCTGCTTCCTGCACACCCAGCACAGGCTTCCCAGCACCTGAGGTGCCAAACCCGAGCCAGGGACGTGCCAGAGAGCGGCGATACTCAACACACTCGTGAACACCCGCGTGAGGGTGTCAGCTCTGAGGAAAACACCACAGCAGAGTCAGGCACTGAGAAGAGAGCTGCTCCTCCCAGCAGCATCACTCCAGCGTGGGGCTTGGGAGATGGGAAACACTCCCTAAGTGGTGAGGCTGCCTCAAGCAGGGACTGACAGTCATCAGCCACGGCTGGTTATGAACTCAAATTCAATTAAAAATTCACTTTGTAGATCTAATTCGCCAGATTAATTGTATTACCGCTAAAATTAACGTGTTTAAGAAACTGTAAAGTTAAGGAGATGAATCATAATTAAGATTAAATGTAAGACTGCAAAAGTTCAGCAGAGCATTTTACCTCCAATCCCAGATCTCTTATCTGAGGAATTAAATAGCTATCACACAGAACTGAAAAAATCCACTGTCCCATATTTGCACTAGCAGCTGCCAAAAAGCTGGAAAGCTTCAAAAAATGGAAATGCCAATACACTGCTAGACCATTTCCATAATTGCATATGCACATACAGTATATGAATTGCTACAGACCTGGCAAAAACTGCATTACACAAGATTCCAAGCTTAAGCCAAATGGAGCTTTGAAAATTCCACTCACAATCGGTGGAGACTCTTCCCTAGGGCACCCTTGCAGTTTAACCCATGAAAGGAACTCAGGATAAAATTACACCAAAGCCCATCAAAAATATTTTATTTCATGAAACATACGAAGGTGAAGTCAATATTGGACATGGACAACAGATCAAGAAGTCCTGGAGAACACTGTGAAAGTGTTCAAGTCCAATGGATCTTGTAACCAGAGCAAGATCCTTGTGATACTGTCTTTAATCCATCTGAACATTTATTTTTAAACTTGTTGCCAACTTTCCTGCCAGTGCAGTCCTGCTGGCATATCCCACCTCACCAAAGGGCTGGTTTTCCTTAACCAATTTCTGAAAATGCAGCACAGTGTTTCCCAACAGCTCTCAAACAAAACAACACCAGGGAAACCTTGACTTGTGGAATAGGGCTCTGAACTGTCAGGAAGTGCCACCGAGCTGTGGGCATTGGACAGCCATGTCCCAGCCCTGTACAGCTGCACAGAGGATGGAATCCTATCTGCAATGGTTTGGGTTGGAAGGACCTTTAAGCCCATCCAGTTCCACACTGCCATGTGCACGGCCACCTTTCACAATCCCAGAGTGCTCCCAGCCCTGTCCAACCTGCCCCTGGACATTCCAGGGATGGGGCATGGATACAAACACACTTAGCACCTAATCCAAATGCTTGGTTTTGCCTGCCTGCTGAGTCCCTTCCAGAGGGGAAGGAACCAGGCCAGCTGGTATTGCCAACATCATCACCTTCAAATAATAGAATCAAAGGATGGTTTACATTGGAAGGGACCTTAAAAGTCCATCTTGTTCCAACCCCTGCTATGGGCAGGGACACCTTACATTAGACCAGGCTGCTCCAAGCTCCATCCAACCTGGCCTTCCCCAAGCACTCTTTTTCCTGAAGGCTGCTCTGGATCCCAGCTCCACAGAGCATCCTGCTGTCCATCCTGCCCGCTGCTGTCCCAGCCCCAGCCCTTCACTCACACACACACCCCACTCCTGCTGGGCTCACAGGAAAACAAGCTGGAATAGCCTTCTGTCCCACCAAACCTGCCCATGCTGAGCTCCCCAGGTGAGAGGCTCCCCAGGTGAGAGGCTCCCCCAGGTGAGAGGCTCCCCAGGTGAGAGGCTCCCCTGGCTGTGCTGTCACGATTGGGACCCCCAGGGTCACCCAGGACTGCAGTGCCACTTTAAGTGTCTGAACTGCCGCCCATCTGCTGTGACTCAGGGATGGGGGAGGCCAAAACTCCCCCAGCACTCGCCCAGAAGCTGAGAGAGCACATGGACTGAGAACAGAAAGCAATTAGTCATGCTGAGTTATTCAAGCATCAGGAAACTTCACAATTCAAAGGATTTACATATTCCCTTGGTTTCATTCACAACATCCATGCACCCAAACATTTTTAATACACTTGTTTTTAATTGCCATCTCCCAGACTTTTTGTATCCTACTGACTAGTAATTCCATGGAAGATTAATGGAAGAACTTCTGGGAATTACATGTGCAGAAGAAAAAGTTACTGTAGCCACTGTAACACCAAATGGGAACATTTGGGAGCTGAGAATTTCTCTCAGGTTCTCAGAAAAAATCCAGAAAAGCAAAATTGTCTCATGACTTCACCAGTTGTCAAAAGCTTACATGATAATAAATTCTGTAAATGTCAGTCACCTGAGTGTTTGGGCTTTCAGGGAGCTCAAACAAAAAAAAATCAAGATTATTTTTAAAAATGCTGTTTATTCATAAAATTAGGAGGGGTGTATTGGAGTGGTCTTGTGCCTTTGACTTGACCCACTTGGATTGTAATGAGCAGTGCAGAACTCCAAGGGGAGATCTGATTCTACTGTAAACCCAAAGTTATTTAACCAAACACTTTCTCAAGCACGTTATCAGCCCCTCTAAGGTTATATGTAAGTGGCCTATAGTACCTGTTCAGCACAACATATCTTTATTGTACAAGCAAAAGCCGTTTGCCTAAAAAGCAGCATCTACAATTGGGTAAAAAAGTCTTCGATTTTTTCATTAAATAGCTTGATATCATTTGGTGGAATTGCCAATTACTTTAGAAGTCAGAAGAATAGGGTACAAATAGAAGGTGCACAGTTATTTGAGACAAACTCCTGGATCCTAGCAATCCATTTCCAAGTATCATCTGAATATCTGATATTGCTTTTTACTTATTTATGCTTTGATGAACTGCTAATTGACTTCATCTCTGAGGTCACATAAGGTCATAAGAAAATAAACTGAGTCAAGTGCTTCAGCCAGATCAACTTACACAAAAAGTTGATGGGACTCTCCCTTGGAGCAACCAGATCCTCCTGCTGCTTATGAGTGCATCAAAAAACTGCTCACTTAAACTAATTAAAGTGACTACATGGGGAAAAGCCCACCTGGGACAGAGATTTGGAAAGAACTAGCTGGAGCACTGTTGTCTCAGCATTTCCACATGCAAAGAGCGGGGAATAAAATTAAAGAAAATAGAGTGGATATAAACAGTACTGTATATTGAGTTAATACAGCCCTTGTATGGAAGTTATACCCTCCAGTGACCTTCTAGAATTGTATCAGCTTGCTACATGCATGTCTTCAGAGTCCAAACATGTGTGAAAGAGACCATTCGTCTACAGAAGGATGGATTTCGTTTTGTTGTCGCTGGAACCGGGACAGCAGACATGTATATTTGCCACATTGCAAATAAAATTACTTCAACAGAAATCACATAAAGTACAAAAGCTTTGATAAGTCCAGGGTAAAATTTACCATCAGTCTATATATAATAAATGATGAGATCTTCCACACATGCTTTTGGTGCCCAGGCACGAGCCAAAAGCAGTGCAAAAAAAGCTTTCATACGAAAAATTAATATAAATAAGGTGTGTTCATGATGATTACTTAAAAGAAAGAGAAAAAGAAAGAAAAGATGGTTCAGAAAAAGGGGCATCCTGCCAAACATATTAGAGATATAAACCATGGAATTGGAAAAAGGGGGTAAAAGAAAGATGGACTGTGATAAAATACAAAAGAACAAATACAAACAGATGGACAAAGACACAGGTCCACTGAGGAATCTGGTACGAGGTTTGCTACTAGATTTATAGGTCACTCTCTCAGACGTTTGGTGGAAAACCGTCCAGCCTGTAAATGAATATAAAGGGAAGAAAACAAAGACACTTATAAAGTACAAGTAGCTGTGATCAGATGTCCTAAACCATCAGTCAAATCAGCTTTGTTAGTTAAACCTCCACATCTCCCCCTTAACTTTGCCAAAGAGGAGCAAGTTCACTGACCATACACAAAGGATGCAATAACAGCAGAAGAGGACAGATAAATATTTTGTAGATTAGTTTGGCAGGATGTGCAATGAGAAGAAGGTATTTTAATCATCATTGGAACTTCCCATATGCATAGCAAAAAGATCAGTCAAAGCCTACGACGGGGGCAATACACAGAGGTCTCAGAGCTGGGGTCTTGGGAGCACAGCCGGTCTACAGTCCTGTGGCTGGGACTCCAAAATTATGCACAAAGTGAGCCCCTTATAGAAAGGAAACATAACTTGGTCCCCAGGGTTTGGTTTTCTTTTAATTTCATTTTTATTTTCTCTCATGCCCAAGACGGTTTGGTAGTTTATAACAAGGAACTTGGGGTCTATCAGAATCAAGAGGCTAAAAAAAATGAAACAAAGCAAACACTCTTCTAGCCTTCTGCATCTTTTCTTTTCCATTCATTTTTCCTCAGGAATCTGTAAGGCAGACTCCAGAGATGGTATTAGGATAAAGCCACTGCTGGCAAAACTGAAAGGCATTTCGTTCCCCAGAATTAGGGATGTCTTGGGCACGCATTCTCGAGTGTTGGTAACACTCGGTAAAACACTTAAATTTTACTCTTCTAACAATACCACAATGCTCTTTTTAAAGATAAGCCAGTAACTTGGATTGTCAAAGGTTCATGTTCCTCTATCATTCCTAAAAAGTTCAAGCCTAAGGGAAGGGAACTAATTTTAGCATGTGCTGGAAGAGACACGAAAGAGGCGGCAGGAAAATCACCTTGGCCAGAGCTTGCGTTGGCATCGGCAGCGTCGGGGCCCAGGCCGGAGCAGATGTCAGAGGACAGAGAGGCTTTGACAGAGCAGGGCTGCTGGGTCTGCACAGCCTTGCCAAAGGCTGAGCTGGGAGGCACCGCGGCTGCTTCAGGGGAGCCTGGCTGCGATTTACTGCTTTCTTTGTGGGGTGAGTCTTTAGAGTCTGAAAGGTTACCTGAAAGAGCAAACAAACACAACACATGTGATGGCAAAAGCCAGGAAAACTCTGAACAAAAAAACCCTGCCTAAAAGTAATCTGTATTTTGAGGCAAGAGGAACAGCCCTTCACCGTTCTGATGTACTGGATGGAGCACAGACCTTGGGGACAGCCTGTACCAGAAAATTATCCACACCTCCTATCACTGATCCTGTTTCTCCAAGAATCTCCTGGAGCAGATTTGATTTTTACAGTCTCTCCTCTCTGTTTTCAGGAGCATCAGAAGGAGCACTGCTGGAATAAAGAGAGAGCTGCTGGGGTGCTGAGGAGGAGGATGAACACACAGAATGATGAAGCAAGACACAGAGGTCTGCTCTCCCACACCAAAGGTGAAATTAAGCAAGGAGAGAAGAATAAAAAGTTGCAGCAAAGGCACAAGGAACTTTTTATTTATAGCTATTTGAGTATAATTGTCATGCCACTATTAGATGCTTCTGCTGATAAATTCATGCAACACATGACTGCAAAGGTATTTTGGTTCTTAAGCCTCTTTAGCTGAGATATTTGTGTAGACAAAAGTACAGATAGGGACATTTATCTAGATATCTACAGATAAGTATCAATATATAAATATCTAGACAGATGTAGAAGTACAGACAGTATCACACACTGCTTCAGTCCCTGTGGGCAAGAACACTCAGTCTCAAGATGGACCACAGAACTTACTGCCTCTGAATGTATTTATTTTTCCCAACTCAGCCAAAATCCTTAGCTAAAATCAAAATCCTCCTCAACACCCTGTCTATAAATATTGATGCAACAAAATTCAAAGGGGCCCTAGTGATGCAGTAATATTGAAAACAGGAGGTAACATGTTTGAAATAAAGGGTGAATGCTGGAAATGCTGCTGCTACCCCAAATAACAGCATGAAGTAAGCTGAAGAAAAATGATGCATATTCTATTCTATGTTTTGCTGAAGAAATAGGTACTGGGGTTTATCAATATTTCCCAGGTAAACGATACTTCTGTATTTTTCCAAGAGATAAAAAACTCAAGGCTGTAGCGGTGTGTGAAAATCTCACACTACTTCACATGGCCAAAGTATCTACCATGTTTTTGTAACTGCTTTTACCTCCCATCCTTTGGGAGAGCAAATGCAATCCCATCCTTTATATATGGCATCTTGGAGGAAAAAGTAAACAACAATAAATTCAATAGAGCATAACAGCACCAAAGAAGTGAATACAAACATCAATAAATTGCATTTGGAGAATGGGGGAGATGTAACCAGGCTGTTTTCCAAATGAAAGTGGAATATTATTCCTCTGCTAAGCACTGTAGCCACTGCAGAGCAGGCAGGTATGGCTCGCCACCAGGAGCTGGGACAAGGCTGTCCAGAAGCATGCCAGCTCAAAACCAGCAAGAACTCCGTCCTTTCCAGCAGTCCCAGCCATCACACAGCAGAACCACAACTGACACAAACAGAAGGAGAAGGGAAGCACCCAGGGTACCTACTTGTGCTTGATGTTCCACTCCTGAGCTGCTGGACCAGAGGGTTTAAGAGTTTTCCAGCTTTCAATTTGTTTTTGCTGGTTCTTCGGCGCCGGCCGCTCGGCGGGGCGGAGTGAAGGAAGCCCAGGTTGGGAGGAAGGGGTTTCCCCAGCCGAATATACAGTGCCTCTATCTCATTCTTCTGCTGTGTCTGCAGCTCAGCAATCTCTTTCATATGCCTAAAAAATAGAAGGACTCTGCTAGCAATAAATTTGATAAAGCACCACATCCTGACAGTGTAATTAATTGTAAAAGAAGAAACAAAACAGTTGTTGGTTATAAAACAATCAGCTGCTCATCCCCAAGTACGCAAAGCTACAAAATCTATCGGTGGTGACGCCCCATCCCTGGAAGTGTCCAAGGCCAGGTTGGACGGGGCTTGGAGCCGCCTTATATAATAGGAGGGGCAGGGGGTTGGAATGAGGTGATCTTTAAGGTCCTTTCCAACCCAAAACATTCTGGGATTCTGTGAGTTACTCTCTAACTGGAACTGGCAGATAAGGCAACGCACAGCAGGATGCACGGTGGGGGAAGATCCTGGCAATGCCTCATTTACCCAGAACCAGTTCACTCCTCACAGCTCTGCTCATCCTAAGCCGAGCTGCTGCCAAGGTATGGCAACACAAGCCTCTTTTGCATCACTTGCAACCCAACATACTTTTCTCTCAGGTTCTGCAATTCTTTCTTCATGTCAGCATCTTCGAACTCTGAGTCGTTGTCACTGCTCATGTAGGACGACTGCGAGTGGATGGACGTGATGTTGATGGTAGGAATCTTCGCACCTTGCCCGTTGGGTGACTCTGGGCCGGGGGAGCCACCTTTGCCGGACCTCTGCAGAAAAGCAGCTGCTTTTTTAATCAAGTCCGCGGCTGTGCTGCTGGGGGGGGAGAGCTGTGCAGCTGCAGCAGCCGCCGGCTGCCGCGGGAAGGGCTCGTCGGCAGAGTCGCTGGAGGCCTGGTCGCACAGGACATCCACGGACGAGGCCGTCTGGACCCTGCGCACGGCGGCCTTCACGTCCGGGCTGGAGGGCAGCTCGTCCAGGTACACGTCCGGGGGCGCCGAGAACCTCAAGCAGTGCGGTGCCGCTAAAGTTAACTCGTCCTGCGTGCTGATGACTGAAAACCTGCCAATGGTTTTGGCTGGTGTGCCGCTCTCCTGAGCCTCAGCCTGTTTTCCACAGGAACCAGAGCCTGGAGAGCCGTCCCTGTGGAAGTTACTCATCGCCCCATCTGCTGCTGCTCGCCGCATTACGCTCGCCGTGCGCGCGGGTGAAGCCGTCCTCTCTGCCTCCTCGCCCCTCTGGAAAGTCTCCATCTGTGGAGCTGTGCCTGATGATGGAGGTGCAACCTGGAGAAAATAAGAGAGCTTAATGAAAGGAACTGTAACAATCAAGCAGAAAACCGCTCCTAGTTCTGGTTACCTGAAGAAGGCCTTTTGCTTGAGCAGCAGGAGCTGGAGTGATGCTGGCAGCTGGACCTGTTTTAAAGTTGGAGGGAAAAAAAAAAAAAAAGTTGTGTAGAATGCTTTAATATAATAAAAGCCAATGTTTTTATTGTGATAAACTGAAGTGTACCACTGAGGAGTAATTCTAAACCCCAATCTTTTTAATACAGGATTAAAAATGCAGGAAGTAATAGCAGTGGCAATATAAAATATCTGCAGGTAGGCAGATCTAGTGATTTGGGGGATTCAAATAATGATAGGTGTGTGGAATTTCATTAGTCAGTTAAAAAATTTTAAGGAGAAAAACAGAAGAATGAAACCTGCATGGTACATTGGGCCTGAACTATTCTGGTGTTCTTGATGTCTCAGAGACACACAGGGCTGCTGAGCATGGAGGGGCTGCTGTCCCACGCCTGCCTGACACACACTGACACCGAGCAGGGATGGCCAGAGGAGCATTACCTGTTCCACCTGCTGACCCACCTCTTGCCTCTGAGGGATGAGCACTCACACCAGTGACTTCTGGCTTGTCCAACTTTCAGTAAAAGGAAAAAAAGAAACACAATTTCAGTCTCACTCACAAAGTAGCATGTGTTCTCCTTCCCTCGCATCCCCTTGCTGCCCTGGCACTACCAGGGAATACTGAACTATTGCACAGTGCCTGTGCAGGTGCTTCAAGCCTTGCCTCCAACTCCCCCATTTTTGTCTCCTTCCTTGGAAGAAATAAAGCAGTGGCAGCATCACAATTGGAGCTGCAGCCCAAGCTACAGAAACCCAGTGTATGATATATACACACACGCTTGGGGCTTTGTTCTGGTTTGCTTTCCCAGCCAGACTGTAGATTCCTCATCTGTTTGTCTGTCTTCAGAAGTTCTACGTCTCTTCCCTTATTGGCACGGATTTTAATAGGACAAATTCCAATTACTGGAGAGACATAACACCTTTCAAAGAGTGAGAATTTTGTTTGCTGTAGAAAGTAATTGATCATTAGGAAACAACATGCTCTAAGGAGTCACTCAAGTACAGCTGCTTTCCTGTACCATACGGCACCTCTCGAGCAGTTGATGGAGTCCCTCCAGCTGATGCTACACAGAACAGGCTCAGCCTTGCTAGTGGGGATGGAGTTAGCTCCAGAAATGCCACTTTTGAGGTAAGACGTAGAATCATAGAATGGTTTGGGTTGAATAGGGCTTCAAAGCTCATCCCATTTCACCCCCTGCTATGTGCAGGGACACTTTTTATTAATTCTAGGTTGCTCCAAGCCCCATCCAACCTGGCCTTGGACATTGCCAGGAGTGGGACAGCCACAGCTTCTCTGGGCAACCTATGCCAGGGCCTGGAATAGACACTGACCTAGCACAATGTGCTGCAAATCTGATGATTTCATAAACTCAGAATTTTATCTGAAAAAACCTAACATGGGACGTCAACTGAGACAGAATAACCACTGCCCCAGAGCAGCTGCTACGTCTCTCGTTAGAGGCTTCCATGGCAGTCTTGCTCTACCAAGCTCAGGAGAAGACAAAAGCAAAGGAAAGAGAAGAAACTCCTGCCAATGGAATGTGTGCCTCTGGCTGCAGCAGGTGGACAAGGCAAAGGCACTTGAAGCGTTTGCTTTATCCAGGCTGACTTGGAAGGCAGTAATTGCAACCACTGCCATTCATTTATACTTAAACTTGAAGCAAAATTGCCTTCATTAGAACTAGAATGACTATACCACGCATGTGTTTGCATTCTTAAACTACAAAAAAACTGACACATTTCTGCCTGCTCTGGACAGGACATGAGAGGAGATGAATTAAAGTATTATACCACTTCTAAATCTAAAGGGGAAGTCTGGCTTTCGCTAGCAAGCAATTCTGAAACATGAGTTGGGGTGCATCGGACAAGAGAAATTTAAGCAGGCTTTCACACTGGAAAGCAGTCAGCGGGCAGAGGTGACACACTCTGGAGCAGGGATATGAAATGTTTAGGGAAGCAAAAGATCTACACATGTCCCACCACAGAAGAGCAAGTTCTGAGATCTGCCCTGGGGCCAGTGCTACAGGCTGGCTTTGAGAGGATGAAGGGCAGAGCCACCAGGGACTGACCAGCGGTGGGCAGGGCAAGGCCTCCGAGGGCACGAGGGGCACCGGTGGCTCGGCAGCAGCTTTCACCTCCTGGCTGCTGTCGGGGATGCTGCAGCCCGCGTCTCTCCCATCCGACGCCGGGGCAGGACCTTGATCTTCAGGGAAAGGCGGTAAGGTAAATTCACTGTCGCCCTGTTCGGGTGGCACAGATGTGTCCGGCGTCCCCGCTGATGCCGAAGAAGTCGGAACGTATTCCTGGTACAGCAAATTGCGCAGCTTCTCATCGAGGCTTTTAATTGTGTTGTCCACGAAGTCCACCCGGGGCGGTCCCTCGCCGTCAGACTCGGCGGTGCCGGGGGGGTTCTGCTGCTGGAGCAGGCTGACCCCCGCCAGCCCCGGGCCACCCTGTGCCCCGGGCAGCTGCTGGGCCGCAGCCAGCGGCACCTGCGTGGGGCTCTGGAGCTGGGACCCCGCCAAGCCCAGCCCGTCGGGGCCAGCGGGGAAGGGCTGGCTGCCGAAGGGCCCCGCGCCGGGCTGGCCACCCTCCGGCACCGCGGCGTGCTCCGGCACCACAGCGTCGGGCAGCGGCCCCGGAACCGCCGGCACGGCCGTGTGAGCCCCCACGCTGCAGCAGGAGACCTCCACGTCAGGCACACACGCCGGCTCATCCGCCTGCGGCTGCAGCTGGGGGGCCGCGGCTTCGGGGGGCTCGTCCGGCCCCACGGCTCGGGGGGCGGGGAGGCCGGGCTGGGGGTGCTCCGGGTGACCCCCGCCGGCCACCGCGGACTCCGCGATGCTCGGGGCGGACACCGCTGGGGCTGGGAACTCCGGCTGGCTCGCTACGCTGGCAGGAGCTGCTGCAGCGGGAGCTGGTGCCAAGGACAGGGCGTCACTGACCCCTGAGTGCAGGGGAAGCTGCGGGCCAGCCCCAACCCCGGGCGCCTCTGGCACTGCAGAGCCCATCGGCTGGTCATCCGACTGCTCTGGGTCTAGAGAGAACACAAACAAAAGGTGAACTTTTAAAGGAAAGGAAATCACTGCCAAGCCCCCCAGTCAGCTGCAGGACAGCCCACTAGTGATTCTCACCAGCAAAGAGCTGTTATGCACATCGAACGAGAATTTTCAGATTATGCAAAAAATATTTCACTGAAAAGACATTACAGTGACAAGAATTTCAGCTACCCCATAGCATAAGGTATAACTAAAATACTGACACTTTACTGAAATGTAGATAAAGATTCCCAGTTCGGTTCAAAAGCAGAAACACACTGTAAATGCACAGCTTAACAAAATTAATTGTGTTTTCCTCTGACTAAATCAAGTGAAACCATCACAGCTGAGTGAGGTGAGGACAGAAGAGAGACAACACAGCAGCTCTGGAGAAGACATTTTCTATAAAGTTTGGAGATACCTGGCCCTTCTGTCTGCTGGCCACTGGGAGGCACCGGGGGAGAAAACTCGGGGGCATCCGTAGTAGGGTTTTCCACCACTGGACATATAATAAACCACCTTTTTCCAGTATGCAAAACTAGGGATGAAAAGAAAATAATATTAAACACATGAATTACATTATCTCCAGATCATGACTTTGTCCTGATCTCACAGGATGGTTTGGGTTGGAAGAGACCTTAAAGGCCATCTAGTTCCAGCTCCATGCTATGAGCAGGGACACCTTCCACTAGAAATTCAAAAACTCTTACCGTTTTGCTGATACACGGGTGTCTTCATTTGAGACTGACGCTTCTCCTGTTAAAGAAACAAAAGAAGAAATAGCTGGGTCAGTGCAAGAGGAGCATCATCCCACTCATATTATAAAGCTTAGCACAGCAAAAGCGTTATTTTTCTAGTTAAGAAACCTTTTTGTTGCAGTCAGCAACCTCGGGATCTCGTCCAGGGAAGCAGCAGGATTCCGGGGACCAGCATGAAACACCAACAAGTCGGGCTCCCGGTTCATGAAACCATTTATTCAGCATAGGAACAAACTCAGGTCCAGAACAGAGAGCCCCGAACAGAGGCACAGCAGGTGTTTTTGAGGGACAGAACCCCCGAGGGTCTCCACCCATGAGGGTGGAGTTCAGGGTCAGGGACCAGTAGAAGCACAGCAAGGGAGAACCCCCCAGGGACTCAAACCCAATCAGAACACCTGGGCCGCCCTTCTCAAGGGGTTTGGGGTGGGACAATGGAACTCTTTGTCTCCCCTGAGGCACGTCGCAACACCTTTTTATTTATTTTTTTTAACACAACATGCAGAAATAATTAAAGTATCTGGCTGTTAAGGAAAAAGAATCCAACTAGCAATCTTTATTTAGCATTTCTTACATCACTCATTTCAAGTCTATCAGCATCTTGTTGGGGACTTGTTCCCTGGTCAGAACTTCGCTCTCCTTCTGTATCCTCACTGAGCATATCTTCTGCTTTATCAATGATATCCTTCATTTGCTCAATGAAAGTCTCTTTCTCACTTTGCAAGATGAATTCATTCTCCACCTAGAAGGCCACATCAAAATAAAGGGGAAAACAGACATTTTTTATTAATGCCTCTTTCCACAGCTCAGGCAAGAAGCACACACAAGGGGTTGAAGCAACTGGGAGCACTGAGAGCCTGTGGGCAGCCACATCTCACCATGTAAGTAGCAATTTCCTCTGGCGCATCACCATCCAAGTCAAACTTGAACGTCACCATTTTGTGGTTATGGGTTTCAAGCTGGCACTCCACCATCTTATCCCCTGTGTTGCACACCTGCATGCAGAGATTAACAACCCTTATTCCTGGCAAAGCCAAAGGAACCCTAGAGTTACCCTCCAGCAAGTTGTACTTGCATTTAATATGGTCAGCTTGGGTCTGTTGGACTTCTCCTGGCGGGAACGAGCACGCGTGGATTTCTTATGCTTCTTTGAAGACTTTCCCTCTTGCTTTCCACTTCCTGCTGCTCCTTCCAAGCTGTCACTCATCTCTTTACCAGGAGCAACATCTGGACTCAGGTAGCTTCACAAGGGAAAGGAAGAACAACCCCAAAATAAAGCCAGAGTCATGCATCACATATAAGCTATGTAACAGAGGCTGCAAAAAGGGGCACATTTGCACTTTTTTAGGCCCAAACTGAGTCAACTGGAAGATACACAGTGAGTGAAGGGCACTACTCCACACCAGGTACATACTCTGGCTAAAACACCTATCAAGAAATGATCTATTAATGTTTCTGGCAGTAACACAGCAAACGTCCCATTACTCTGAATATATCCCTACATCCCCCAACACCTTCGCTTCAAGGGTCCTGACAGTCCTGCTCTGAACTGCACAAGTTCCTACTTTTCTAAGCTGAAGTTTTCTCAGTTCCTGCCTTTCTTCCCTCCCAGCAGAAGGGCAAACAGGTTAGGTTTACTGCAGAGGGAGGAAAAGAGAAGTTCCATACAGCTGTACATACACCAAGGCTAGGATGCTGCACCCAAACTAAGGAACTGAAAGAGCTGCAGGTGCCAGAATGGGCACACTGCACACAGGACATTGTCAGCTTCTCCCTAGACATCTTTCCAGTCCATCTCCTTCTGGTCAGGTCAGAAAAAACAGCCTCCAAAAAGCAAGCATTTCTGATGTCAAAGAGGTGATAACAATACCTTTCGCAACTCTGGGACAGAGCTTGGAGTTTATCCTGTATTGCCTGCTCCTAAAATGCAAAAATAAAAGTAATTTAAGCAAACACATTTTATTAGCAGATGAATAATACCTTTAAGAAAGGGTTTGCTGTTGGCACCAGTAACTTTTAAACCATTCTGTTTAACCTGTTTTTGGAACCTGGAAATAAAATAAATGTCCTATTTTTTCCTTCCAACATCACTTCTGTCCAAGGCACCAACCACTTTTTCAGACAGAGCCACTGACCCACCAGTTCCCTTCCTTTGCCCATAGCAGATGAGATGGTGAAAGGAATAAAACAGTTCTCACCACCATTGCAAAATCTGATTGAGGGACAATTCCACATCAGCACCCACTGTCTTTTATTTTTGAATGTATCTGCTAATTTGCTTCATTGCTTTATATAGTTTTCTGAAAGATGCTCAGTATTTTCATTGTGTTTGGTTTAGTGGGAAAATTTCTGAGGAACTTACAAACAAAAAATAAAAATTCATCATTTAAGAACACCACTCTTGCATTATTCTTGTCCTCTACACAAATTTCCCATAAAAGCTTCCCTCTTCAGTGGTTGCAGCTCTGGGACAGACATCACAGCATGATTTTCACATTGGGTAGACCCATTCTCACAGAATTTGTGACAATGCTGCAGGCCCTGCTGTAACAGACTGAGCATGTATGCACACAGACACACCTGTGCATGTATAGAACTGTGTTATACACTCACACCAGATACACCCATAGACAGGTATCATTTTATATACATTTATAAACACTCATCTATAAAATCCTGCTACAGACACACAGCTAGGAACAAGCCCCTCGACTGCCATCGCCACACTGAGTGCTCAAGCAGTGGTGAGCTGGGGTTAAAAGCTCAGTGGGGAACTGGTCAGCCCCACTGGTTCTGTGTGACTTAACCAGTCAGCCCCACTGGTTCTGTGTGACTTAACCAGTCAGCCCCACTGGTTCTGTGTCACTTAACCAGTCAGCCCCACTGGTTCTGTGTCACTTAACCAGTCAGCCCCACTCCTTGGCTGTAACATCACACATAAGCCATGCCAAGCTTAAATGCAGTTTCCAGTAAAACTGCAACATCAATGAACAGTGAGAACACAGACATAATGTATCACCATTCTGGTAATGCACTTAACCAAGTGCCTCACAAAACCTCTTTTGCCTGACTGGTGCAGGCTGGTTTGGATGCAAGTGCTGCCACGTGCCTGAACACAACAGAAGGGATAAAAATGTTATGGCAGAGTAGCAACAAAATGCAGTGTTTTGATTATACAGGCAGGTATGAAATTTCTCTTACACCCAAGGAAACTTCAGCAATGTATGTCAGAAAACCAGCATGGAGAGGATGGGGATTGGCACTTGCTTCATTTCTTAAAATGAACGAGAGAAGGGGGTTAACTTAGAGATGCACGTGAGAATGAAAAGAACAAACCAGTGGTTAAATGTTCTGAGGGATGTGGGATGTGAAGGACAGATGTGTGCCATGAGTTTCTCAGGAGAATTTGTATCCCCCGTATCACAGTGCACAACAATGAGGTTTGTTCATATTTCAAGAATCTCTAATGGAATGGACCTTGCACTGAAGGCACCAGCACTGACCCTGCCATGAGCTGTGCATTCAGAAAAAAGACAGCTGGAGAAGGAATACCTTCAGTGATGGATGTGCCTGACCCAGCCCAGCTCTCCTGGGGAGTCTGCAGGTGCAGCACTGCAGACAGGCTCTGCCATTCCTGCCACACCTAACCAACAGGATACAGACACTCACCAGGAAAGTTCCTACATCACAGCAGGAACGCTGATGAGGTAAGAATTAAACTGCCATTGATGGACAGGAAAAATGGGGAACCATTTTTAGGGTTAGCACAACCCTTCCAGAGCATCTTCTGAAGGCAGCATTGAGTTATGCCTCCAATGGAATTTCAGGCTGCACTGGAGTCAAGGCATGTGACAAACCATGGAAACTTGGGCAAAACCAAGAGATTAATTTTGAAAAGGTGAAATACATACTTTGGGAGGAAAGAGAACAGAGACTCAAGAGGAATGACTCTGAACACAGAATCACAGAGGGACATTTCCATCCAGGAGTGGAGAACAAATCAGACTTATCAGGTAGAAATGCCAAAGCTTTCTTTTTTGCTTTACTGACAGGGAGCTGAAGAGAAGGAAATGTTGTGATGTTCTGTCAAGACTGAAGATTAAACAATTATGGGAGTGGAAAGAAAAGTCAAAATAGAAGACAGGAGGAGCTGACAGTTCTATAAGGAAAACAATAAAAAGCATCCTGCTTCTATCACCACAGAGCATTGGGAATGCCTATGAGTATGTGAAGAAACAAAAACCCCAGGGCTACAGCAGACATCAGGCAATACAGGAGGATACAGTGCTGAATGAAATGGAAATTGGGCTCAAGCTGAAGAGCATGAAGGGCTTCCACAGCACAAAGATTCAGATTGTGGAGCAGTTTCTTAGGGCAAATGATGGTTGGTTGAAGAAGTGCTTGAGACATTTAAAACAAGACTGGACAAAACATGGGTGAAACTCTACAGAATCTTCTAACTCACCCACAGTGAGAATTTCCTGATTTCTATCTCTGTGCTTGTGCTCAGCTACAGACAAAGAGGCGCTTAGTCCTGCTGCCTCATGAATTCAGTGAGACATTTCCTGAGCTAGAACATCAGGTTTCATTTGGAATAGCCAATTATTCGCTGAGCCAGAGCTGCTGGCATCGAGGAGCAGCAGCTCGGCACACTGAGATGACCTCCCTTGTGCAACAAGCCCGCTGTTTCACACAGAAGTAACTAAGAAGATTAAGGCTGAGGCTGGTGAGTTACTTCAGAGGAAGGCTCTACCTCTTGAGATGTCTCTGCGCCTGCCGCGACAGCCGAGCAGGGAGCTGGCAGCTGCTGGCCCAGTGGCTGGGAAAGATCAGGCTGAAGCTGCAGCAGAGCAGAGGGCTGGAGAGGCAGGCCAGGCTCTATGGGGACAGGCGGGGCAGCCGTGGCAAGGCTGCCATGGACCTGGGGAACGCCTTCGGGAGCGACGCAGGGCGGCACCAGCTCCGGCTGCAGCTGCAACGGCGGTGACATGACCATGGAGGGTTGCACTGGCAGCACGGGCACCTGGGCTCCAGCCTCCAGAGCAAACTGAGCGTGTCCAGGCACGGGCTGCAACACAACGAGAGCTGTTAGCACACACCTCTGCGCCAAGGGCTCGCACAGATGCGACAAGGGAGCAAAGTCACCGGTCTGCATGAAGAAAGGACTCAAACTTCGCAGTGCAACTGGGATTGGGTGCTCTCAGTAACAACTACAGAGGTTAAACTTCCTATGAGATAAGCAAATAAAAGCTAAGGATTCTCTCTGTACAATTATTACAAAGTGCATGGCTCAGGTATTAGTTTATTAGTCGGGACAAAGTCAGGTTTTGCTAAGAAATGAAAAATCACAGAATCCCAGAATGGTTTGTGATGGATATAACTTCAAAGCTCATCGCAGCCCCTGCCATGGGCAGGGACACCTTCCACTGTCCCAGGATGCTCCAAGCCCTGCCTAACCTGGGTCCTCGACACTTCCAGTGATCCAGAGGCGGACACAGCTTTTATAGGTGCCCTGTGCCGGGGCCTCCCCACCCTCACAGCCAAGAATTCCTTCCCCATATCATATCCAGCCCTGCCCTCTGGCAGTGGAAGCCATTCCTCCTTGTCCTGTCCCTTTATCCTTTGTCCCCAGTCCCTCTCCACCTCTCCTGGAGCCCCTTTAGGTCCTGGAAGGGGCTCTGAGATCTCTCTGGAGCCTTCTCTTCTCCCAGGGAGTCTATTCCCAGCTCTCCCAGCCTGGCTCCAGAGCAGAGGGGCTCCACCCCGCAGAGCATCTCCATGGCCTCCTCTGGACTTGCTGTAAGCTCTTAGGTGATGAATTCATACTCCTGAATACTTTGCTCTGCTTTCAACAACCCCACACTGTCCATGCAGAGAAAAACACACTCTGCTCATAACCTAACTCAGGATATATTAAGAAATCTGCCATAGATGTAGAACCAGGAGCTGGCACAAATGACACAATTAATTCCTTCACTGAATATATACCAGTGCCCTACTTCAGTTTCGTGCAGTTTACACACTGAACTTAACCCTTTACACACCCAACTTAACCCTTGATGTGCCAAGCCCCAAGGCCCTAGTCCTGCCAACACTTCCATGTGGCCAGAGGGAGTTTCACTTATCTCAGTGGATTTCTCCAGTGCATTAAAATAACTTGAGTGCGTAAGCGCTTGGTGGGAACCAGACCCAGGCGACAGGATGCCAGCTACCTTAGAGACTGGGTTGTTATTCTGCATAACAGTCCTTTTGGGTTGTACATTTAAAAACAGAACGTTCTCCTTTTAGGTACATCATGTATTTTTCCAGGGGGACTGAGCTTGTGGGAAGAGGAAGAAGGAAAAAAAGAAGCATATGGAAGAAAAAAAAGTCTTTTAGTACTAGGTAAAAGTGTGCTAAATTTTCACTTTTTTGAAGTACCGTCATATAGAGACTTTAGGCTATTGGAAAATACATTAGAAAAATAAGACTCAGATGAGAACTAGGCCAGGTGATTTCATTGCTGCATGCTCTCTGCAGGTTCTGGGTATGAGCTGAAATTTTATTCCAGGTTTTAATGTGGATAAAAGTAAAGACAGGATGTGCTTCACAACACCTCAGAGTTACATGGCTGCCCAAGGGGTGGGCTGTTGGACTGACAAGTAATGCCACAGGAGAGTGGTTCAATTTTAAATCTTATATAATTAGAATAATTCACAAAATATCTCAATGTCAAGTCACAGAATCACAGAATATTCTGACTTGCAAGGGACCCACAAGGATCATCAAGTCCAGCTCTGAAGTGAATGGCCCATACCAGTACCAGGAAGAACAAAACTCAGAGGTGCTAAACATCAACTGTGAAAACAGCATGACATTTTATACAGAAATACCTCTCCACCAGAAGTCCTCAAATCAGAACCATGTTTTTTAAAATATTCCACTGCACACTATAATAGCTATTTTTTATCCTAAATTCTTCCATATGCAACTCTTCCGTACATATTTGATAGTTAATGACTGTGTCAAGGATGGTTTGGGAACATCAGCTCTCCAGTTCTGGTATTTGCCATGCTCACTGTGTCTAATGTGCTTGATTCCATTCCCTCTAAAGCCACAGGGAACACTGAGTAACATTCTTGGGCTCCATGCTGCTGACATTCTCAACGACAGTAATTCTGTACCAAATATATGGCTGAAGAGAGAAATTTAAAAACTATGTACTGCTCTGAAGATGCTGTGACATGTTGGGATGGGATGTTATGAATTTTAATTAGTGTCTTATGGTGAAGGGATGTGGCAGAATAGAGCTCTTCCAAATGCTTCATTAACAGGTTGAATGCCCTCTCCTGCTTTGGTCAGCCTGTGTTCCACATTGACATATCACAGATGTGGCAGAAGTATTTGCAGACTCTTGTCAGTCCTGAGGCAGTTTCCGTGTAAATACTGCCAATACTTGAGCTCGTTTGTTCTTCGTTTCTTTCAAGGGGGAAAGGGTCTGCAGCGAGAATCGATCCATGCCCTGCATCTCTGACAGTGCTCTTCCACACAGTTTTCCAGAGCCCTTACCAGAGGGCTACTTTCCTTTGCTGTTTTAAAGATGTTCTAGACACCAAAACAACTGCACTGCTCCCACCAGCTCTCCCACACTTGCTGTGTATACCCAGCAGCCGCTGCATCCCACATGGAGCAGCCACGGGCACTGGCAAGGCTTGGCACACCCTCCTGACCCAGGAGAACCACAGCTCACACTTGCCCAGATCTGAGAGGAAGAAGGAAGAGGAAATTCAGAAAGTGCTCCGCTCATTCACTGTCCAAAGCCAGTTGGATTACGCCCTATACCCTTGACAGCCCCTGTCCCTGGGTGAGGACATCACCTGCCACCCCACAGCTCACAGCTTCAGCCACCACCTCCAGAACCGAGGCCGAGAAGTCAACAGAACACCTCAAGAGCAGGGATTAGTGGTGGTGAGGAAGAGAGCCCCCGGAGGGGCAGTGCCCCAGAGCACGGTGCCGCCGATTTACCTGGTGAGCCGCGGTGGGAGCAGCCAGAGCCGGCTCGGGAGTGTGGATGACGCCGGGCTGCAGGGCCGGAGGAGGCGGCTGCGGCTGGGACACGGGCTGGGAGCTCTGGCCGTGGTGGGGCGAGGGCGCGTCGCCGGGCAGCAGGGGCTGGAAGGCGGGCTGGAACACGGGCTGCTGCGGCAGCGGCGGCACCGCGGCGTGAGGCGGCAGCGGCGGCACCCCCGGCGGCGCCACCGCCAGCAGAGGGATGGTGGCCGCCGCAGGCATGTTTGGCACGATGGGCTGGCAGGGCAGGACCAGAGAAGCCACGGTGGTGTGAGGAAGGTTGACGGCCTGCATGGGCAGGGCGGGGGAGTTGGGCGCCATGGGCAGCGTGGGGTTCATGGGCAGGCTGGGCAGGATGACGGCCGGAGCGAAGTACTGGGAAGGAGCGGGAATGGGGGGCACGTTCGCAGCGGGGATGTCAGACAGGTTTGGAGGAAGGCTGTCAAGCCCTGCCAGAGGAGTAATTGCAGGAATGACAGGAAACTGAGGAATCTGAAAAAAATGCAATATCGTGTAAATCGCCAGTGCTTTCGCTGATGATATAAAGCCGTGTCATTTGCCACACAAGTCCCTAAAAACCACCTGTGCCGTGAGGATCATTATGTCTGCTTGTTAATCACCTCCATTCATTCATTGAGGTTCACAAATAGTAATAAAAACTGATTTATGCTTAAATCATTAGTAAAAGCAAAAAGAATTCATTTGAGGGGGACGCTTTCATACCTTAGAAGCTTGAAACTATTTCTAACACCAGCCTGAAGCCTTCAAGCAACATCCTAATTAAAAGCTGCTTTCATTTTAACAGAAATTAAAAGGAACTGGGACAGACGTAACGCAAAATTCTTTGATGCAAAATTAAGTGAGACGATTTAAACCCTTGTTTTCAAGCAAGCTGCAATTCAGGCAGCACTGAAAAGCCCAGAAAAAGGGTTTTTACAATCAAAACCTCCCAGTGATGGAGCAGACATTGGCATCACAGCAGCAGCTCGCTCCTGCCCTTTGGCATAAGGTGCTTCACATTACGGTGCCTGTCACTGCCAAACACAGTGACAGCACCATCCACCTTCCTGGGCCAAGGGAAGGGTTTGTCCCTGCTCCAGAGAGCAGAATGACACAGACAGGGTTGGCAGGCACCGTGTGAAGTCAGGAGGTCAGAAAATAGCAATAAAAACAGGCAATTGCTCATGCCTCAAGCCTGGGATGGGGAAGAAATTGGGCCGGGGGGACAGTGCAAAAGACCAAATCAAAAGAACCCCCAAAAAATTATTGCCATTTGGAACCGTCATTATCTGGATGGCACAGGGTTGGGCACAAAGGAGATTTCTGATTCACCAAACAAATAACAGACAAATACACAGGAATTAGGAAAGAGCAAAAAATACTCTTATTGCCTAATTAAGCTGGCATGCAGTCAAAATAGCCACACAAAACCTGCAAATGACATTAATGATTAGCTGGAAATTTCTCCTCTGATGGCTGTGCTCACACAGCATTACCTGGGAAGGGGCCACGGGTGGCAGCTGCGGCACGGTGGAGATCTGCAGGGGCTTCAGGGGGGCGCTGCTGGCGGGCACCTGCGAGCCCTGGGCCGGGAAGGGCGGCAGCAGGTGCGGGGCTGGCGGCAGCGGGCACATGGGCTGGCTGCTGAGCACCTGCTGCAGGGAGGCTGCCTGCGACATGGGCTGCTGCTGCTGCGGGGACACAAGGAAAAAGGTTACTGCTCGTGTACAGCAAGGGAGCCAGATGGCTGGCCGTGCTCCCCGCTTGGCCCCACATCACTGGCAGGACAGACCTGGCGCTTGGAGAACAGAATCACAGGCTCATTAAGGCTGGAAAACACCTCTAAGATCGCTGAGTCCAACCACTAAAGCAGCACTGAAAGGTCCACCATTAAAACACGTCCCCATACGTCACATCAAGATGTTTTTTGAACACTTCAAGGGATGGTGACTCTTCCACTTCCCTGGGTAGTCTATTCCAAAGTTTAACCACCCTTCCAGTGAAGCAAATTTCCCTAATATCCAACCTAAACCTTCCCGGGCACAGCTTGAGGTCATTTTCTCTCATCCTGTCCCTGTTCCCAGGGAGCAGAGCCTGACCCCCACAGCTGTCCCCTCCTGGCAGGGAGTTGTGCAGAACCAAGAAGGTCCCCCTGAGCCTCCTTTTCTCCAGGCTGAGCCCCTTTCCCAGCTCCATTCCCTGCCCTGGTCATGCTCCACCCCCTCAGGATGTGCTCCAGCAGGGACAGCTCCCAGGAGAGACAGGCACTCTTAATTCAAACACTGCACAAGAGCCCATGCTTAAAACACATTTAAATGCAAGATATATTAGCTAAAATGACAAGTGCTAACTGTCTTGGAGAGGTTATTTGTAATGACTCAGACTCTTTAAATCCCAGAGATTGTTCCAGTTGGCCCTGTGAAAATCCCCACCCACTAACTTCCAAGATGCAGTTAATACCCAGCTCATCCTGGCAAGCAGAAGTCGCTACATAATGGAGCAGGCATGGAAAGTACAGCACTTATTACCTGAGACACAATCAACCACAATAATTGCAGTAAAAGCTAGGTTCCAGATATTTCTGATGTACTGTAGTGACAATGTGGTAGCCAAAGAAATTGCTTTACTTTTCCAGGGAAAGTAGTGCTCCCTTGGCCTGACAGGCTTTGGGCAGCAGAACAGAGAAAAAGTTGCATTAAAGCTGGAAATCATCAGTTACAAACCCTCACATTTTATGTGCTATTGGTAGCTTCTTCTTCAGTTCCTCTTACTAGTTCTGAAAGTACTTTAAAAACCCTTCTGCTTCAAAAGGATGACTCTGAGGCATAGGCTGACTCAGGGTGACTTACTTGGGACCACAGGGCTGGTGGCTTCACCAGGCCCTGCAGCGCACAGAACCTCTGCCACCTCATGTTTCGGGAAAGATGTGGCACCTTCCCAGTTACAGCCCCAAACCTACGGGAATGGCAGTGTGGGAGCTGGCCTGGCACTGGTGATGGGACACCCACCTTGGATTGGGGAGACCCCACTCACCCCATGGAGGAACTCCTGCCAGACCAAGCCCCAGCTCCAGGGTGGGAGAGCTCACATGGTGCTGAGCTGGATAAAGCTGCCAGCTCCCAGAGCCAGCTCTGCTCTCGTGGCCCAGCTGGGTTAATCTGCAGCTCAGACAGCTGCCCACGGCTCACCAAGGGGACAGAGGGCACTGGCACGTGTAGCTCAGCCACCTCCCACTCCAGGAGACATTGCATTAGAATGTGTTAGGGAATGGAGCAACTTCCTAAAACCTGCCTCTCAAATCCAGTTTGTGTCTTAGAAAATGCTTCTGAATTGGATATGGCACAGGGAGGGGAAAATATCCAGGCAGATTAGGTAATTTTGCCTCATTACAACCTTAGCAGAGTAAATGCAGACACATAAATTCAAAAAATAAATAAAGGTTAGGAGATACAACTTTGATTCCACATGTGTGATCCACCAGTGCATACTGATTCAAAACAATTCATTCTGTAGGCAGATGAATTTCTGACCCTAATTTCCCTTCTTCTACTGTCCTGCCCTACCCTCCTTAGCACGGACATCCATGGGACACTGCTGTCTCTGAGGAACATAGCTGCTCTGAGAAGTTCTGTAGAGAAACTTGGGACACCTTCCCCTATTCCCAGGCTGCTCCAAGGCCTGTCCAGCCTGGCCTGGGCACTTCCAGGGATCCAGGGCAGCCCCAGCTGCTCAGGGACAGTGTGAGAGGCAGAGCAGACACGGGGATGGGATGGGATGGATGTGGCTCCGTGGCAGAGCCCAGCTCTCACCTGCTGGCCGGCCAGCACGGACGGGGGCGGCTGTCCCAGCGGGAGCGAGGCCACGGTGCTGGGGACCACGGGGAACGGCATGGCCGGCTCCTGGTAGTGCTGCGGCACCACGGCGGGCGCGGCCGGCACCGCGGGCAGGATGGGCTGCGGAGAGACAGCAGTTAGGCAGGGACACTTCCAGGGATGGAGAAACCCCAGCTTCTCTGGGAAACCTCTTCCAGGGCCTCCCAACCCTCGCAGGAAATAATTCCATCCCCATATCCCATCTACTCCTGTCCTCTGGCAGTGGAAGCCATTCCTCCTTGTCCTGTCCCTCTGTCCCTTGTCCCCAGTCCCTCTCCACCTCTCCTGGAGCCCCTTTAGGCCCTGCAAGAGGCTCTGAGGTCTCTCTAGAGCCTTCTCTTCTCCAGGTGAGCACCCCCAGCTCTCCCAGCCTGGCTCCAGAGCAGAGGGACTCCAGTTCTTGGAGCATCTTTGTGGTCTCCTCTGGACACACTCCAACAGGTCCATGTCCTTCTTGTGCTTTGCTGCAAAGCCACTAATGCAGTTCAGTGCCAACAGACTGATAATGGACTGAGCGGGTCACCATGCACAGAGGTCAGCAAGGAATTCATACAGAGACCCTGGCACCCATATCCCTCTGGGAACAACAACATAAATGCTAACATGAAATACCTCCCAGGATACAGAACTATTTGAAAAAGCTTTGCACTCACTGCTGAGGGCTGCTGGTAGTGGCTGAGCTGGGGGAGGCTGTGGGGCACAGGCTGGCCCTCACTCAGGGGGGGGCTGTACACCCTCTGGATGGCAGGAGGGACAGCATCCGGCAGCGAGGAGTAGATGACGCTCTGCTGGCTGCTCTGCGAGTCCGAATAAACCGTGGAGCCCTGGCCGCTGTCAAACGTGCTGTCAGCTGGAACAACAGTCATTTCAAGCTCAACAACTCCCAATCTTCAAGTGATGACTTTACAGCAAGGTCACCATGGTTTATGTAATTAGCATTTTTACTACTCTAGCCCTTTCATTATATAAATAAATTATACAACACCAATGTTATTCTCTACAAAAGGCACACGCTGCTTCTCTTAAGCCTAAACCCATCCCCATGGATTTCTGTGTACACTGGTATTTTAGGCACATTAATATTTCCTTTAAAGGGCATAAGGTTGACATTAAGAATTGCAGATGTTTATAGATTTTGTAGGATGAAGGGAGAGGAAACCCCAATTGTCATGTTCAGAGCAGATCATGGGGCCTTTTAGACCATCCTCCTTCCCAGGATGCACTGACTTTAACACTGCTTTTATTAGCAGCAGAAAACTGCTGAACTGAAAATGACAAAATTCTTTATGCTGTATGATTTTAGTCCAGCAAGTCATGCTTTGCTTGAGTGTAGTGCAATTAAGGTCAGATACAAACCCCTGTGCAGGTTCCAGTGGGTTTGGCACACTCAGAGCTCTGTGGGAGTTTCTCATGGAACATTTGCCCAGTTAACCTATGGAACTGCACAGCTACAGGGACTGGGCAAGCACTGGGTCCCTTGTCAGCTGGAAATATTGGTATTACTGATCTAAAAATGTCTTTCCACAACTTTCAAAGTGTGTAAAATGCAAGTGCCCAGCTCTGTTTGAGCCTAGGTTACTGCTTTCTTCACTTGAGAAAGGAATTAAGACAGCCAGACTGCAGCTGGACATATCCCAAGGACAAATAGCTTCTAATAGAGATTGAAAGTTCAAAAATGAAAGAAAACTGAAACACAGTTTAAAAAAAATCTTAAATTACAGCTAAGCTTAAATACTATTTCTTTTCCCAACACTTTCCACTGTTTCTTTTTTCCATATTCTAAGTTAAGTTTTACTTATTTGGCTTTTAAGTAACAAATTATTTTTTAATAGCACCAGAGATGACATTTCTCTTTAGCACTCCCAAGCAATTCTCCCAAATGTTTTTTTTCCAAAATTAAACTCCCCTCTCTATTTATTCAATTCATTTCTGAAGAGCCAACACAGCCCTGCTCTCAGGATGGGATTTCTGCTGCATTAACATTCCGTTTTATTACAAACAATTATTCAGTACCTCAAAGGAAGAGAAAGAAGAGTGTAATGGTGGAATGCTAAAGTTAAATCTGTGAGTCACTCTCAGGTTTTTATAGAATGTACATTGCACACATTAAGTTATTAATTTCCACTTTTACATTTGACCTCAAATTACATGAATGGGTGCCGCCTTAATTTATAGAGGTCCTCTGCTAAGAAAATGTTCAAATAATCTGATAGCAAATTGCCAAATACTACCAAGCACTGGTTAAAAGCTGAGAAGGAGTAGGAAATAAATTGTGGGGGTTATATTTAGTATAGCATTTTGCCAACTCATGTCCAGCAGAACCAAGGGAAGGGCAAGTCACTTCATTGCAGCACTAGAAACAAGAAGAGTCACAATTGCAGTGTTCCACAAAGGAATTAGCATGAAATAAGTACCTGATCCAAGAAAATGAAATGAGCTCATTTTAGCTTCAGATAAAAAGCTTTGTAAATATGGCAATATTGTGAGTGTTTGGCAAATGTGGCTATTTCTCATATCACATAAAGGGATTTTTCCTGTACGGGCACACATGACTATTTCAGTATTCAAAGCAGGCCTCAGTGTAGTCTTTTATAAAGTACCTGAATTGAAGTGGCAGCTGTGTCTTGCTAAAGGAGTTTTTTTGCATCTTTTACTTAAGCACAACACAAAAGTCCAGAACAGTAAGACAGAAACTCTATGATAACTGTTTAGTAGCAAAGTATATAGAGCATTATATAGCGATATCTATACAATACTGTTCTCTTGAAACTTCATCTCTTTCAAAAAAATAAATATAAAAATAATCAAAATATATAAATATCATAAAGCATCTGTCCCAGATGTTTGTGGGTTTTGGGCTCTGCAAAACCACCCACACCAGCTCATCTGAGCTCAGGTCACTGTGGGTTTCCCCTCAGACGTTCACCCGCGAAGGCAGCACGGCACTTACAGGCGACGGAGGTGACGCTGGTGGGCAGGTTCTGCTGGAAGGGGTGCTGGTCCGCCTCGGGCTCCTCGGGCTCTGACAGGATGTGGTGGCCCGTGTGGGACAGGTAGGTGACCTGGACCTGCTGTGCCTGCGGCGCCTTCGGCTTGTCTGGGCACTCCGAGTCGCGGCGCTCCTCCGACTGCATCCTGGGCCAGATGCGCTCCCTCCTCCAGAGGATCAGCGCCACTCGGTCACGGATGGACTTGGCCACGATCTTGAGATCGCTCTCGTGGAAAAAGCCCGAGTCAATCTGCAGAGGAGCACACACTCAGCAAGGGCCCGAGCACGCGGCTGGGCACGCGCACGAGCGAGACCCGAACCTCTTCCCAACAGAGAAAACATCTGTTTGAAACAACACAAATTTATATCAATTTATTTCTCACAAGAACGGGAACTCAAGAGCTTGGTGGGGTGGGGTTCTTTCTCATTAAAACTTCTATTCCTAATAAATTAAAAAAAAAACAGGATGTAATGTCTAAGACCTGAATATATACTGGCTCTAACTATCCACCACTAAACATCTGCTGAGGAGAGCATCAGACTGCCCCTAAATCTGAATTTATTACCATAACCTTTCCAGCACACAGTTTTCCAAATTGCTCTGCTTGACAGCACAGCAAATCATGAAGGACAAGATATTAACAGAATTATGTCTCAAATTAACTTCTTTTAAATAGTGAAGTCAGTCAGTATTGATTGACTTTCACAAAGAAAAAGCAGACTGTTCCCATTTGATGGAAAAGGGGGTGAGGCTTCTCAGAACTCAACTGCTCAACAGATAAAACGGAAATTCATCTTTGTGCTATTTGTTTGCATCATCTCCTGCAGTGCAGGGTATGAATTTTCATTTAATAATGACCTACCAGAGCTTTTTCTGCTCACCCTACATTTTTAACATGCACATTTGACAGATTTGAAAGCACTTACACCCATGGGGGAAATCTAGAAGCTTTCCTGCCTTGTCCTTGCCCAACCCCCTAGAATGTTTCCAGTTCCCTTTGCCCACATCCTTTGGGCAGCTGGGATTGCCTGACTACCAAAAACCCATCAGTAATGACAAATAATTCCCTGTAGTCAGAAGGTCTCCTGCATTCTTTCTCTTCCACAGCACATAAAGCAACAAACTGATGAAAGCACATGGCTTTGGTGTTCCACAATTCATAGGGATTAGAAAAAGACATTTAGGAATAAACATCCCCCTTTTCTGCCCCTGCAACAGCCTCAGGTTTGAAAGCATTTCATGGGCAGTCACTTAGGTAAGCATTAATGTAGAATACAGATTTTAAAGTTATTTGGGAATTATTTGGGAAAGAGTACTATAGTTTGGGCATGATCTTTTCAAATATACTCTTCACAAGAATTATTTCCTCTTCAAAATCAAGCATCACAACTGTGGACCAAACAACTTAGAGAACTTTGAAGTTCCAAATATTCCCATCAATATTTAAATGCAAAATACAACAGCAAGAAATGGTACCAGAGCGATTTTTAAACTAAATGAGTTCTGTAATGATATATTACTGGAAAAACATTAAACCTACTGCAAACTAACGACAAGAAGACAAAGGAGCCTGAATTCCTCCCACTAAACTTGGAGTAGATGGTGATGAGTTCCAGCAGAGCAAGGCAGCATTACCAAAATGAGTGCCTCCTGAGAAGAACATGAGTGCTGATGACATCATTAAATGGGATCCCTCAGGATTTACAGTCTAATAGGAACGTTTCTGCAAGCACAGGAACGTTCAGACCCTTGGCTCAGTGCCTCTGTGACATTAGAACACCGAAACAACTGCAGCAGAGACACCATCAACAAAATAGGAGTTCAAGGACAATGTGGTGAAACTGGAACACAGATTTTCTAACAAAAGCTCAAAATTATAAAAATACAGAAATTCAGCAAGTGAAACTTATCTGCTGAAAAATCCAAAGCTTACTCCTAACTCGGTGAATCCAGTTTCCTACCAAAGTTTGGGGGTAGAGTGGCTGATCACAGACCTTTCTCATCTACATTCCTTCTAAGGAACACCAACAGAAAAGATGGGGAAAAGTGTTTTGGAGAATTCAATGCAGAGTATTTTGTGATTGAACTTCTGAACTCTTCTAACGAATTTCTAGCTGCTGTCTGGAACTAAATGGACTCCAAATAAATTCAAAGACATTCAACAGCCTATAGAAACTGGAGAACAGCTTGCAAAACATAAAAGTAGACCTGACTCCTATGGTCCCTAAGCCATGTAAATTGTGATTTCAGGCATCTGTTTGCAAACAATACACTTCAGTTAGCTGTTCCCTGTTCACCCCTTTCTTGCAGTAGCCTTTCCAAAATCAATGCCAAGTGTCCAAACTGGACACCTGGAGTGGCTCAAGGGAAGTTACTCCACCCAACTCATTCTTGTTGTCCCTTGAGATTTATGCACAACTTTCCATAGATACATATTATTGTCAGAAGTGTATTTTACCATTTCTTGTGCAACATCATCAGGAGTTTCCTTCTCCAGATCAAAAGTAAACTCAATGGCTCCATTGTCTTTGGGTTTTCCTTTCAGCTTCTTAGGATCTTCTACCCAGAGTCTTAAGGCAATAGAGGATTTCCTACCATGGTCTTCTTCTGCAAGTTCCACTCTTACCCCAGTATCTTCAGCAAAAAAGGCATGGCTTAATAAATCTTTAATTTCATATCTGCAAAGGATATAAAGAAGATTCAAACACTGCAAGTCAACAGTTTCAGAAAGGTTTGTAACATTTAACTGCTGTTAAAGCTGGAAACATTTACACTATGTTCAGTATTCACCCATAATGAATTTGTGTTCTTTTTGAAAAAAATCTGGGATTTTGAAAAGGAAGCAAAATTGAAAAAGTGACATTTCCCATTTCTCAAAGCTTTAGCAATATTCATACACCACAGGCACTTAGAGAAATGCAGATTATAGCTTTGTTGAACTTTTCTTAATTATCTGAGCTTAAGGAGTACCAGAGAAGAGATTCTCTCTAGGCAGTCAGCTGCAGAGTCCCTAAAACCTGTATTTGTGAAAGTCAGGAAATACTGAGCACAAGACAAAGTGGCAGAGACCAGCAAAACATTAGTTTTTAGAACCAAAGCTGGAAACAAGGCACAAGGTGTCTCCATGTCCAGAGGTCAATGAAATCTGCTACAACAGCTCGTGATGAATCCACCACACCATCACTGCCCCCACAGAACCTTCCCAGTGACATGTTTTGGGCTGCTGAACCAGAAATTGCAAGAATACCCTGGAGCTCAGCTCCACAGTGATGCTGAGAGACACAACAGCACTGACACTGAATGTCAGGAAAGCAGGAAATCATTTCTATTTGCACTTCCATGCTGCATTTTCTTCTCCTGCACAGGAGAGACCCACAGCTCTGAAACCCCTGCATACACATTACTTAATACAAAACTCGATCCCTTGAAACAAACCTTTCTTCTTTGTTTTTGCAGATGCACTCCCCAATTATCTCCTTAATTTCAGGATCAGTAACTTTCTCAAAGCTTGCTGGCTTTATACCCTAAAAGCACAGAGAAAAACAATTTAATGAGAAAAAGAACTACATTATACCTCTTAATTAAGCTTATTTTCTCTGCATTTTAAAGGTAATTCAACCCAGGAAGTAACTAATACTTTTAAGTTGTCAGTCTTAGTGCAAAACTGAGTTGATTTAGGGGTATTATAGGATTATTAGGATTTAGGGGTACTATATTTCTAAATACCATTGCACTTCAATATTAGTACACTAGTGTGCATGAGCTCAGCCATACACAATGAAAGTATCCCTTTTTCTTTACCAGCCTTTGCAAATTTTACCTTTATGTCCTCTGGACTCTGAAGTGAATATTCAAGAAACAGCTAATTTGAAATTTCAAAAATAACCATTCTCTGAAATTATTCCTTTTATATTTTTGTCTTAAGTCTCAAAGCACTAGATGAATAAAACAAATAATCATGGTTTTCTTCGAGAGCAAGCACTGAAATGAGTCAAAAATACCTTGGAATATTCCATATTCCTGTTTCCCACAAATCTCTGTTAAATGTTAGCATTTTTGCTGGGAACAGATTTGGAACAGCAACCTATGAGTACAGCCTTTCAAGGAGAAAACCCAACTACCCATTGCAGGAGAAAACCCTGGGAAGCAGAATCAGTGTCCCCACATCCATCTGTATATTCAGGTACTGATGACAAGTGGCAGCACAAGAAGTTCTTCTGCTTATTTGTGATGTCCAGCTTAAATCACAGAATTAATTGATTCCTTTTCAAAAACACGTTATTACCTCTACCTGCTAAACCAAGATGTATATGGATGAAAATATGACAAAATTAATTTGAGAAGAGATGATGCAGCTAGACCCTATCACTTAAGGACCCAAGTACTTCCAATGAAGTCAATAAGCAGAACAAAAAGGAAACATAATTTCGTTTATCTAAAAAACCAGAATGTGATTAAGCACATCACTGAACGGGAATTGGACATTTAGCTCCATTCAAATCCTTTTAAAGTTTCATTCTGAAATAACAGTAAATAATGGCTCATGCAGTCACAGATAAGGAGCCCTGCAGAGTGGACTCTTGGTTCACCCAGTGGATTAAAAGAAGAAAACAAGTATTTTCAAAGGGCATCTGCAAGTAATACACTGAATTAAGTCTTAAATAAATTTTATGGGTGAATTTCAGTGAGGGCTAGAGTTTCTCTGAGACTTTCTGAATGTTCCAACATCAGATCATACTATTATCCTTTTATTAACATTCCGTTGCTATTCAAGCCTCAGATTCTACTTCAAACTTTATTAATTGATAACTTTAGGTCAACAACCCCCTATTTGTCTTAAAATTCTAGAGTGAAATACATAAATCATAAATTTCGATAAAAATAGTAATAAATATACAGAATAGTCACACAAAGACCCAGCTCTTTGGTTTAGCTGCAACAGAAAGCTGTGGAGATCCAAAGAAACCCATTTTTGTGAGAACAAACCAAAATAATCTGTACACATGGCTGGCTGGCTTTGACTCACTAAAAAGAATGATTTGCTTAAGCAAACCTAAATCTTACTGATGAGATGAGGGTTCCAATTCTGTATATTAGAAAAAATGTGCAAAGCCTAGGCTGGCTCTAATGTGCCAAGGTGAGCTCTGAGGAGAGCTCTGATACTTGAACTAGAAATGAAAGAAAACAAAGCATCACCAAAATGGATTTTCAGCTCTGTACCCTAACTCACCTTTAAGCTACAGGAGTGTGTTCTCCATCAGAAAGAAGGATAAATCTGTACATTTCAATTCACTGCTGCTTGCTATGAGAAAACTGATTTTTTTTTTTTTTCTCCAGGAAGAAAGGGTAATGAGACCTAATAAAGGCTTTAACCTGAAGGTTTAGACTGGACATAAGGAAGAAATTCCTCCCTGTGATGGTGGGGAGGCCCTGGCACAGGGTGCCCAGAGCATCAGATCCTCGATGACTGGTTCCAAATATTGAGCTTACAAATTGCTCTCACAAATAAAAAAAGCAACTCTTCCACCAACTCTTTATTGTCCCCATCTTTGGACAGAACACAGACTCCTCTCCAAACATCATTGTGTTCATCTGCTGAACAGCTAAGCTATGAATAGATGACTAAAACAAACAAGGACAAAACATGTGGAGTGAAGTACTGAACAGAGCTGCTGTGCCAAAGTGTTTTCTCCCTGTCTCTGTGCTATAGGATGCTTTTGTTCCTTGCTCTTCATTAAACTCTCCAAGGCCATCTCCCTGGGATGCTGTAAACTCTCCCTTGCAGCACAGTGCTCCTGACAATGAAGGGGGATTCTGTCTGCCATCAAAGGACTCATCTCATTCACCTAAACACGAGCCATCTGTCTTCCCTGAGCATTCCCAAGGAAACACGCCACCAAAATTCAAAGTGTATTAGCAAAGAAATTATCCATGACAGTTTGAAAGCTGCACAGCCTCTTATAAATTAAAATAAACTCAATGCCACCACATGTGAAAGGCAGGGCTTGCTGGGTGGCATAAGGGGCATAAGGATAATACAAGTTCCTTAAATGTTAAAATATATATACACGTATATAAACCAAGAGCAAAATGAGAGATTAAATATTTTCCCTTTTGAGAATTTCTTTGTCTCAAACAGGATGATTTATTCTGACTTCCTCACCACCACTTATTCCCACCCCCTTCTTCCTGAAGCAATTAGATTTGTGATCCATTGCCCTCCAGTATAAGGCAGCTGAGTCTACAGCCAGACACACACAGACATTGAAGTTGCATCCTTCATGCTGAGGGAAGAAATGTGCTGCTTATTCTGCAGGGTCTAAAAACAGCTGCTTGCCATTTTCCATCAGAGCACACTTTGCAAGAGCAGCACGTGATGTTCTGAAGGGACACAGCAAATGCCATGAGTCGCTGGCACACCTGACCCACATCAGTCAGGTTTCTGGAGGCTTTCCTGGCCCCTGGAAGTGCCCTTCCACCCCAGAGACAGCCTGCTCTGGGCTACCACTACACCTTCCACCTGGAGGTAACTCTAAGCTCATGTCATTCCTAAAAAAGGAAAAACACCTTCTACCAAAAAAGCTGAAGCCATGTTTCCAGCTGAAACTGTGCCCTGGCACACACTCTCTGAAGTCACTGAAATGAGAGTAAAGCTCTCAATTTTACCGGGATTTTGTTCCATGACATCACTGTGTACAATTACAAACTCATCTCTGTTTCACTCCAGAATGGTGCTCCATCTTAATGTGAAGTTAAGAGGATTACTTGCAGAGCTAAGATGATCTCCAAAAGCCACAAGAAGTCCATGCAATGACATTCACAGCATTATTTGCCTGCTGTCCTTGTGCCACAGCCACAGCATTTATTCTGTCTGTGTGCACTATGGCATACAAGCTGAGAATGCTGAGAAAACCTTCAATAGCTGGTGAGAACAAACAATATGAAAGCTTTACATGCTAACCACAACACTGTCACGGGGTGGGTTGTTCTGAAGCACAGGTTTGTAGCACTAAACCCAAGGAGATGGCCAGAAACTCCCTGGAGGTGCAGCTGCTCTGCTGTGAATTCTGCAGCGCACCCCTAAGAAAACACTGGGCTGGAGCAGCCTGGGAAGGTCACGGATTCCAATGTTTCATCACTATTGTCTACATCAAAATCACTTGGCAGAATGATTAAACACAAAAAAAATCTGAGTAAGAAAAACCATCAACTTATGCATGAAAAATGAGATTATGGCATCAGAACGAAGGGCACTGCAAATATGCTGACCAGGAAATCACTTCAAAGTGAACTGTGGTAAATGTGGCTTGGCCCTGCTGCTTGGGAAAGATGTGTTTTCTATTTATGGTACATATCCATTTTTTTAATGCTTACACTCCATCATTTGGGCTGAAAGGGCAGAGAGAGGTGACAAGTTGGAACAAGCCTGTCTCAAATGAGCCCCTCTGCACATTCCCAAACACGACCAGCACCTTATCCTGGACAACTGCAAACATACAGGAATACGTGGAAAAACAGGAATGCAAAAATTAAAACAGCAATTAAGCCATAAGAATACGGTCAGGCAGAATAAAAGGTCACTGAAATAAATTAAATATAATAATCTTACAATACAGACATGCAGAATGTGACACATGCTAAAATAATAATGTCTCAGAAAGGTAATGTTTACATTTTCTACACCAGTAAGGATGAGCAATGTGTGTGACTTGGACTTGAGGTGTATTTCATGTCCTAGTACCAGGCAAGGGCATGGTGGAGTGTTAGGACATAGAGTAGAAACTACTGAAAAAGAGATTATAGTGGCTAAACCCAAATCATGCCCTGCCTGTGCTGGGCAGCAGAGGGAATGTCAGCTACAGAAGGTAGGTAGTCTAAAGATTTTGTGGGTTGTTGCTCCTTGATGCAAACTCTAGCCAGACATTCCAACCCCTACGGATGCTCTGGTGGTTGCCACTGCAATGCTGAGCCAAAGGTGGGAAAAGAAAGTAATTTTATTTTATACTTTTTAAATAAAGGCATCAGGCAGCTAGACACAGGAAACACATTTCACAATGCACTGACACTCAATTTAAAACACTAGAAATAGTATTTATAATCCTGGTGAAAAAAAGCCCCAGCTTCATAAAGAAGTAAATGTTTCACTGAGAAGTTGCAGCGTTCAGGGGCTCTGCATCCTCTCCATCCAAGAAGGTCAGAGTCACCTTCTGCTCTAGTGAGAGCCCCAAACCTAATCTAATACTGGAAGAAAACAGTCTAATTCAGCCTCTTGGGTTCAGCCTACACTCTATTTGAGTGTATTTCAGTCTATAAGCCCCAAGGCTCACACAAGTTGCCTCATCACCAACCCTAACTCTTCATCCAAGTGATTTCAGAGTTACTTTGTCTGTCTGTAGCCACTGCCCCAGCTTAGGGCAGACCCCACACCCCAAACTCCTCCACCTCCTCCTCAGCTGCTGCATCCCTCAGACCCCACAGGCCACTCACGCTGCTCAGAGCAGGGTCCCTCCTGTCAGCAGCTCCCTGCAGGTGCAGCTCCGCTACAGAAGATATTGAGCCCACCACAAAGTTCCTCCTGGGACAGAGGATCTCCCCCAGGATGAGGCTCCTCCTGCACCCTCACTGCAGAGGTCCACCCCCTGCTCCTCCTTCCTGCCTGACAGTTGTGCAGCTCATGGCATTTGACAGGGCTTTCTCCACTCCACAGGCAGCTGGTTAACCCTTTCCTTGGAAAAACAGGAATGCCAATTTTTGCCATCTAAGGAATCCTGGTGCCTTTGCTCCCGCTGCTACTACCCCAAATCCAGATGAAAACCTCACACCCTCTGTGTGGGTGATGGTACCTGCATCAGGTACCTCTGCTGGTACCTGATGCTTCTGTCTTCAGCTTTCCCTGCCAGACACTTCTGCTTCAAAAATACCCCTTACAATGACCTTTCAACAGCTTCTCTGCCATTGCTTGTTCTGTGTGATAATCATCATCTCCCACCTCTCTGAAGCTGCCAGTATAAAGCCAGTTTTACAAAACTATAATAATTTACCATCTAATTCTGAGCTGTGCAAAGGTTACTGCCATAAAAATGAGTTGGCTCAGGTTTTAATCAGTGTTTAAAAAAATGGCTACTTAAGTCTAAAAATTGAAATATAACATCTAATTAGGAATCCTCTGATTAATCATTATTCTTTGCCATCTTGGATATTGATTTGATAAACGAGGCTTAGGAGCCTTGCAAAGTCTTAATTACCAATATTCCAGATGGCTGTGAGGTGTGCACAGAGCTTCTGTGGGTACGTGGTGCAATGAAGAGCTCGATGCTCTCCGTGGCTCCAGGTGCACACACACATTCCCAGTAACACCAGCTCCCACGGTGGGACTGGATACCTGAACAGTCTCACATGCAGGACATGAGGCTACAGAGCCTAAAATCAGAAGAGCCTCTTGCAGCCATTCTGTGAAGCTCTAGAACCCAAGGAGGTGTCCCCTAAGCTGCCCACGCTGGTTGCATTGAGGCCATATCTGAAGGACCAAAACAGAGCCAACATCCCTTGTGCCAAAGGTAATAAACACTGTGATAAAGAACCATGGAATAACAACATGGAGTAGCCACGTGGCTCTAGGTTCACAGAATCACAAGATGGTTTGGGTTGGGAGGTACCTCATCCCAACCTCCCTAAAATGGGCAGAGACACCTTCCACTAGACCAGATAGCTCCAAGCCCTGCCCCACCTGGCCATGAATAACAAGGATAAAGGCAAGGAACTCCCCCAGCCATCAAACCCATTCCCAGTCTCTGAGAAGCTGCAGCATGGTCAGCAGCCAGCACATCCATGGCTGCACACACTCACCTCCCTGCAACACCATGGGGGCTGCTACAGCCACAGGATGAAGATAGCTGCACTGCTCAGCAGTTTCTGAGGCCTTTTGTGGGGTTTAAATTATTTCCGAGTGGCTCTGGGTTGAAAGCAACGCTCTAAGAAGAGTTAAACTACCGAGCATCAATACCTTGGGCTGTATTTGTGGCCCATGGAGATAAAATCAATGACAAAGATTACTGAAAATATTTGATGCAGCTGCACCCAGTCAAACACACTCCAAGTGTAGAGCTGTAAGCTTACACAAGCCTGAAACAGCTTTGTGTAACCCAGAGCTCAGATACCTCAACTTCTACAACACAGTATACACTCAGCAGCACTGACACCTCATCAAAATGTGCTTTTGAACCTTCCAATGACAGGACCCAAGAGCAGTCAAGGACATGTACTCACACAGGTTACTTTTCGGTAGATTTGAGCAGCATTCTGGCATTCTGAGTAAGGGTATTCTGAGGTAGCCATTTCCAGCATGCACATTCCAAACGCGTAGACATCCACAGATTCATCGTAGTGTTCCTCATACATCTCCGGGGCCATGAATTCTGGTGTGCCTACACAGACACACAAAGAGAAATGCTGATTTTTTACAGGAGTCTAAATGGCTTTAACCACAAGCTTTTTCACCTTTAAGGAGAGTGCCCAGTACAACTGTGTACAGGTGCATGCAAGATCATTTCAAAAGAGCTCAAGCATCCCCCAGGGAAGAAATCCAAGATCAATGTATGCACTTCCATGCCCATGGCTTGCTGACAATAATCCACGGGGGGAAGCAGGGCAGGGGGGAAGGGGAAGAAAAATAATGAAAAATTTCAAAAATTAATTAGAAAATGAGCTATGGTTCATTTCCTGCCTATACTGAAGTGATAGAACGGTTTCTGTCTGGCTGGAGAGAAGGATGTGCACAGGACTGGGGAGGTGAAAAGGGGAGAAGAGAAACTTCACTCTTGTTTTTCTCACTGCAAATTTGCATTTTTTTTGTTTCCTCCAGAGATACAGAGTAACCACCAGCAGGCAGACAACGCTTTGGAAGCCAGTAGTATCACAAATCACCTACAGAGTCATGCACAAAACATCAAACCTAATTCTGTCACTGGTTTAGTGGGACAAATCAATGAGGCTACTCACAGAACAAGGTCCTACTCAATAGGGATTAAGGTGCTGGGAATCTGATGCAACTGGGTAAATATGAAGTGAGGCACTGGGAGCTGCAGCTTGGGGACAAGCAGCAACTTCCAACACCTGCAACATTTGCTCTGCAAACTACTCAGAAAAGGAGTGGCTTATAAAGCAAATATAAATATATATATATAATTATTAATATATATAAAATATATATATATATTCATACTTGGGTAATTAATTCCAGGAACTGTATCTCATACTGTAATTCATGCTTAGGAGTAATGACTAGTTTATTTCCTTCCTACATTGAAAAGATGAAGGAAGAGAGATCAATGCAATGGTGTGTCAAGGGACAGTAGCAGCAAGCTGTTGGGACACCAAAAAGAGACTGGCAGGTCTTGGACGATGAGAAAAACCAAGATAAACTCTGCCTGCCCAGGCTCAGCACCCAAACTGCCCCCAGCCCTGGCAGATCCCATCAGTACTTGGTTATGTCATCACTAATCAGCAGCAAAAGCACAACTGTAATTAAAGTAACATAGAATCAGAAAAAAACAGTTCAGGCTATGCCAGGATGGTTTGGATTGGAAGGTACCTTAAAGATCATCTCATCCACCCCCTGCCCCAGGCAGGGACACCTCCCACTGTCCCAGGCTGCTCCCAGCCCCGTCCAGCCTGGCCTTGGGCACTGCCAGGGATCCAGGGGCAGCCCCAGCTGCTCTGGGCACCTGTGCCAGGGCCTGCCCACCCTCCCAGTAATGTTTGCTCCTAATATCCAGTCTAAATCTCTCTTCCTGCAGTTACAAGCCATCACCCAAGTCTCTAAAGAAACTGAGGAAACCCCATCCCTGGAGGTGTCCCAGGCCAGGATGGATGGATCTTGGAGCAACCTGGGATAGCAGAAAGTGTTCCAGCCATGGCAGACAAGATGATCCAATCCAAACCATTCTAGGATTCTCTGACTTGTTCTGTACTCTTTTTAAATGGCGACATAAAGGACAACCCTCAAAATTAGGGTCTGCTTTTTCTGAAGTAGATTAGACCTAGCCCATGAACAAGCACTTCTGTAAAATCAATTGTGCAAAATTCAAGACTGATCTCTTCCCTTGTTTATGTTCCTTCAAAGATACCTCATTCCTCCAGACTTAGCAAATCAGCCAGAGCCATGTCATGGAGGCTCAGTGTAGTCCCTCTCTCTGGGTTTTTGTTCCAGCTCTCACCAAGGCACAGATTGCTGCTCAGAAAGGGTTAACAGCTGCCACAGGGAATTATTTTGGAGCTGCTGCCTTGCTTTAGAAGGAACACAGCTCAGGAGCGGGACTGAATCTCATGAATTACAGAGCATTTAAAACAAATCTGAAAAAGTGATTGCAATAGTCTAAGAAGCAAATGGAATACTTGGCACCATTCCAAAACAGGACAAAAATGACATTTCCCTCCCATTCCTTGGGGTGGAAAGGAATACCTACAAGCATCCTTCAACATAACAGCCCAGCTGAACGTGAAGCTGCTCTTGGCAGGAGCAGGTTTGCCCTGGCTGGGCTCCTGCAGACACTGCAAGGTGCTGACTTCATCCCTTCCAGCCAACGTGAAATGCAGCTACTGATATGCCTTTAGAGCTACTCCCTCTGCAGAGGGTGCAGCATTACTCATCACCAGCGTTTCCAAGGCTCCTTAATTCTCTCCTTGGAGCAGTACTACTCATGAAAATTATAAGCTCAGTTTTATTGCCAAAATAAATGCAGACACTTTGCCAGCATCCTGCAGCCCTTCCACTATCAAATTCCTTTCAGACATGAGTGCATTTTGATGGTGTTCTGTTCTCAACTGATTTTAAAAAGTCTGTATGAATATTACTAATATTCTTACCAATATTGGTATTACTGATGTTACTCCTTGTATTGGTACTACAGATACTATCCCCAGTATTGGTATTACTGTTATTATTCCCAGTATTGGTACTTCTGGAATTATTCCCAATATTGGTATTATATTATTTCCAGTACTGTTATTACTGATATTATTCCATTATGTCCCATGAACAATTGTTAACCTGCAAAAAAATTATTTGAATATTGACCCTCAACAGAGAAAAACACCACCAGTTACTAGAAGTTTAAAACTAGAGAATCTTAACAAATATAAACAAACATGAGTTCACTGAAATCAGTGAGGTTAAGCAGACCCACAGCAGCCAAGCCCATATTTGAAATTTCTGTTGTTTTGACTTCACTGGTACTGGGCTTGGTACGAATTAAGGATGATAGAGGAGGAAGGAGAAGAGGAAGTTATGATACCATTACCTAGTGATTCCCATTTTTATAGTGGTATAAAGGCAACAGTCCCAAACCCATTTTAACCTCTAATTACCAATCTCAACTTAAAAACCACTAATGCAAAATGGGAAAGGAAGATGTTAAATAGACAGCCACGATACTGACCGAGGAAAGCCAAGGAGAACAGGAGCATTACCTATGACACTTTTGGCAAACGAAGCTCTCTTGAGTGTTGCCAGACCCAAGTCTCCTATTTTCACAGATCCAGTTGGTCCAGTAATAAAAATATTATCACATTTCAAGTCTCTGTGAATTATTGGTGGAGTTCTTGTGTGTAAGAAAAGAAGACCCTTCAGGATCTGCCGACACCAACTCCGCAGGACTTTAGGTTTCATCACTTTAAATCTCTTCAGATACCTAGAACACAACACACACACACAAGTGGGTATAAAGGAAATGAAAAAAAGTTTATTAGGGATTTGAAGGGCTTTAACAGCTGAAACACCACTGTGGATAAAAGCCCCTTACTAGATGCCACAAGAGCAGCACAGAAATATCCCAAAATCAAATTAAACAAATCTTTTGAAAGGAGGAATTAGAGCATTCAGTTTTAGAGAAGACGATAATAAGCGTTTTCGGGGCAAATACAACCAAATATTTTGAACTCTAATAGTTCAGCAATTCATTTCATGCAGAGAACATCTTTAGAATATGTTCACATATTTCAAATCAGAAGAATACTGAAGTTTAATTTTAACCACAAGACTTGGACCTTGTTACCATGCACCTGCATTTCTTTCCATTTACCTGAAGGGCTGGCTGGGAGGGGACATTTGGGGAAGATGCAGGGCCTGCTAATGCACTGGCAGAGTAGCACACTGGCTGAGTACTGCTCCCATTGGGGCTGAAAATCTGTTCCTGAATCCATGCCAACTGCTTTATATCAACCTTAACAAGACTGTCAGTACCAGAGCTATTAATTAATATTGTTTAGGAGATAACCCAGAGCACCTTCAGCTTCTCAGAGATTCTACCATTCAAGTGCTGTTCCATTTGAATTCCCTAACAAAACATGCAAATACAAGCACAAAAGCAAGCACAAAACACACCCTGACAAATGCAAACGTCACAGGCGGAAGATAAAACATGCCAGAGAACAGTCTCGAGTTGCATAACCGAAACAGGGAAGCAGGCAGAAAGAGATGGAGGCCAAAATTCTGACTGTCAAATAACTGCAGTTCAAATGTGGGGACAAATGACAGACACCAGAGAACAGCTCCATTTTTTGCTTTTATCTGGAGATGGCTTTTTTCAGCATACAAAAGTAGGATTTTTCTATAAATGCCTGCTGCTATTCTTAGCCCCTTGCCAGGAGCGCAGTACTTACGTCTTCAGCGTTCCAGAGGTCATCAGCTCGGTAACCAGCACGATGCATCTTTTGCCTTTTGCACAGGATTCCCAGAAGTCATAAAACCTCACAATGTTTGGATGCTGCAGACCCTTCAACATTTCTGCTTCCTCTTTAAATCTCTGCCTCTCTACTTTTGTGAGTTTTCTGTCCTATAAGCCAAAATGAGACATTATTATTAGTGACGGACAAAAATAAAGGCTTTGCACTGCCAGGGCATTCAGAATTTTCAATTTGTTTTATGCTTGTGTCAAGAGCAATTATAAAATCTTTTATGTAAGACAGCAGCAGCGTGTATGAACTAGGGCACTCGGCCTAAATCCAGTATCAGGAAGACAAAGAGATGCCTGTGCTATGCCATGCTCATGACAGCACTAATATTTCAGGCACCCATGAACACACCCGTGGCATGATGGACCAACCCTCTGCTATTTCTTCATGTTTGGGTGTTGTGAGGCTCCTTATCCAAAGGATTAATACCCACAGGATGTCATTTCCAGGTCCAGATGTTCTCACAGCCAGGATGGGTCCCACTGCCCTCAGCTGCTCCTGAGATGCTCTGGCACAGAGCACCAGCTGAGGTCCCTGCTTACCACACTAGGCTCTACAGCCCATCCTTTTTACCTCAGACTAAATAAAAACCATATCATCTTCCAAAAAAACCCAAATACATCCATTTTTCTATGTGTTTGCTGTTCTGCTTTATTTTACAAACTTTTCCCTTCTTTTTGGTAAAGGAAGTGTTTCCAGCTGTCCTTCAGCTTCTTCCATAGGCTGCATATGCACGGAAATTCTTTAGATTAGAAATGTGAAAATGTCATGTTCTACTACTCCAGTTTTCCTAGAGAATTTCAGGGCATTTCCCACAAGCTCTGGGCTGTGATGTGACCCTGCTCAGAGCACACAGAGCCCCTCTGCCCCTCTCATGGCTCAGGAAAAGCTCCAGGGCTGCCTGACCCCTCCCAGCACATGGAGACCTCCAACAGGCAGCCTGGACACTCGCTCCATCCTCTTAGGACGATGGAACAGAGCAGCAGGGGAGTTCCACCCCAGATCCCACCATCATGCCTGCCTGGTTCTCCCCCCTTGGCCAAAGCACTGCGCACCCCTGCCCTAGAAACTGAGCTTTTGGGATCTTTAGAAGGTGCTCTTACTCAGAAAGCCAAAGGATCACCAATCACCAAGATGAATTAGCTCATACTTAAACCTCAGACTTCTTCCTTTTCTCAAGTCACTTAGGCATGCCTATACAAGCTGCACTCCTGTGGACACACAGTGAATTAAATGGGAACACAGCTGACTTGTAGCCAAGATGCAAAAAGATCAGCCACTGCCATTTCCACAGCCTGCCCTCACCCACAATCCCAGACAGTTCAAGATGGGAATGAGAATTCCCATGGCTACAAACGTGTCAGCTTCACACGGAGACCATCAGAGGAAACACAGGGTTGGAAGCATGATTTGGCTCTTGGTGGATGACAAAACTCTGCCACAGTGCTGTGTGTACATGGGGGGAGAGTTTCCATCAGTTCTGGGGCTGTTCAGGACGTTCTCTGTTCCCTCTGAGATCTGTGGAGCATTAGACCAAACACTGCCCAAGCAGCAGCAGCCCTGGGGCTGGGCAGGGCAGGATGACCGTGGTGACCTGGTCTGGTCCCCAGAGCAGCCAGAGCAAGCCATCCCCACAGGGACAGGCACACACAGAACACCCACAGCCCAGCCAGGCAGCCCCTCTCCTGCTCTGTACCAGCTGCCTTTTTTCTAAAGCAAAAAAACCCAAAAAAGACCCAACAAAAAACCAGGCTGTCTAACGAGTCAGGCAAGAGGAGCCACAGAATTGCTCTCAAATCCATCACTCCTTCCCTACTGCTGAGTTTCCTTCTAATTTAAAACCTGTAGAATAAATCAGACACACTGCTGCTAGGAAGGAGAAGGAGCAAGTCCCTGTGCAAGGCAGGAAGAGCAGAGCGGGAGCTGGCAGAGAAAAGGAAAGATGGCCACACAGATCCAGCAGATTTGCAAATACTTTCCAATTAAAGAAAGAAAAAAAAAAGTAATACCATAGGCATTAACTCTCATTTCCAGGTTTCTGAGTACCATGAGAACTTTTCCACCGCTACTTTATTGGTAACTTTTAAAACTGGCCTTCAGCAGACAATCATATTCTGTATATTCTACATATTAAGAGCAGTGTCATTTTGGCAACTGCAACATAGTGATTCTGGAAGGCAAATGTGTGTTTTATTTGTAATTACAGTAGAAAAAAAAAATCTGTAAATCTGTTGGGTTTTTTTTTCATCAGATTGATATCTGAGCATTGTTTTCCAGCTGGAGAGGCAAGGTGAGGGCCAGGGCAGAGTGGACACTCCTGTGGCTGCGGTCTCCACCACGGGAGGGGCCTCTGGTGCTGTCAGGGCTCAAGCAGCCTCCTCTAAATTCCTCCAGGCTGAACCTGACACTTGAGTCGCTGGTGAAAACATAAGCTGATTCTGAAAGGGCTTAAGGGTCAAAGTGTTTTCTACTCTGAAGCAGCAGAAACACCTGTTTAACTGCATGACTCACTCAGGGTTTAATCCAAACCCCAGAAACCTTCACTGGGGTCACCCTCATTCCCCATCGGATAATGCACACAAGGCAAAATGTTCTCATCCTGAAGCCAAGGGTGTAAGCCTGAAACAACCTCCAGGCATTACATTTCAAGATAGAGAACAGGATGGTTTGGAAAGGTCATGACAAAGAAAGGTAGTAATGGACTCATGGAATAGTTTGGGTTGGAAGGAGCCCTAAAGATCATGTGGGTATGAGGAAGAAATTCTGCCCTGTGAGGGTGGGCAGGCCCTGGCACAGGGTGCTCAGGGAAGCTGTGGCTGCCCCTGGATCCCTGGCAGTGCCCAAGGCCAGGCTGGATGAGGCTTGGAGCAGCCTGGAATAGTGGAAGGTGTCCCTGCCCATGGACAAGATGGCATTTAAGGTCCCTTCCAACACAAACCTTTCTGTGATTCCATGAATTTCCAATTTGCACTTTACAGCCTCAATCCTGGTAAATCACACACTCATTTAAACTGGATTAATATGATATTTGCAGCAGGAAGATACAAATAAATACCCTATCTATAATCAAATTTCTGCTAATCCAACACATGTATGTTCTCTGCTTCTCCCTACTCATCACAGCCAGGGCAAAAAAATGCATCTCTCTGTTAATATAAAATTTATCCCTTCATTAAGTTCCTTATGGGGAACAACAGCAAAGACAGGAATTAGTAAGTAAATGTGTTAACAAAAGGAAAGGGAAAACTTACAAATTAAATTTCTGGAATGGCACCCAAATTAACAGCAGGAACATGTTCAGTTAGTCATCCCCAAGCATAATTTCCTCCAGGTTATAACATATGGGCTCTGACTAAGGATCTGAAAATTATACAAGCAGGAGACTGGCTTTCACCTGAGCCTTCAGAAGATTTCCAAGATTAACAAACGAGGTCAATAGCTTGTCTGGGGGCAATTTCTTGCCTAATTCTTTGCAAGGAGCAAACAGATTTGGGAATCAACTCCATCCCCCCACCATGAAGGAAGGGGTTCTTACAAAGACTACATAAATTTTTTACATTCAATGCGTAGAGCCATGTAGGAGCAGGGTCTGGAGCACAGCTGTTGCAAACTAGAAAGTTGCGCTGCTTTGCAGTTTCACAGATTTTTTAATTTTCTCCTTTTAAAGTCTTGAATTTTCACAAATGCTAAAAAATTTTAAACTACTTTAAACACTTGGATATCTTACCTACTTCCTAGCCTAAGGATTTCTGTGTCCAGCTAGCCTATAAATACTGTTTTCTTAAGAATTTTGTGTTTTGCTTTTAAATTCTCAAACTGACATAGCTGCATTTACTGAAGGCTATTTAACTTTGTCTCATTTTGAACAGACACAGGCCTGACTGTAAGGCAAGTAGGAGCATCAGGTCAGAGACAAGGGCAGGGGTCACGTCCATCACACAGAAGCCTGACCCACACTGGTGATGAAGAAAAACCAGAGGCACTTCTGACCCAGGGACAGAAATCAAATCCCTACATCGACAGAATGAACATCTGTTCAGATCATTCCATTTTCACATCTGCATTCCAACTATGTACTTTTGCTCATGCACTTCAACTGCTCTTCTAATCAGAGACGGCCTCACGTGTGAATCAGCCACGGGATCCACTGCCAGCTGTCTCCTGTGGAACTGTCTGTAGTTTCCCATGGATTTATAGACAGGAGCACAGTTCTGCTGTCATGTACCAGCCCTATGTCTTTAGTATCATCCTGCCTATGCCATAAATGTTTAATAGCATACAGGACCTTTCATTCAGACACCCTACACTCACTTATAAGCACTCATCACTTAAAGCAATCCTAAAGGATAAAATCCCTTCCCTGTGAACAAACAGCAGATGCCATCAGACAACTCGCAAATCAAGAAAAAAAATTTTACAGCTTCATTCCGTATCAGAATCCAGCCAACATTCTTCTTCAGCCAGTCACCCTCAGTGAAGTTACAGCCTGCTATTTGTCAGCAGCACTACTGAAGCGCAGGGGGGTTTCCCAGGGGGAACTCATTTTCCAAGGGCATAAAAGTAGTCCCTGTCCCCATGGATACTCACAATTCAGTGAACAGGAGCTATGGAACAGGCTAAGGAAGATTTACTTACTTTCCTGAGTCATTGCTAGAAATCTATGGAAAATTAGGAGTTTATTTCAGACCTTTATGGCTAAATTTGGCACAGCAGAAGAGGCTGAGTGGGCTTTTTTGCTGGATGCAATCATAGCTTGCTGCTTTCTAAATTGATTAAGGCACATCTCAAAGCCTTACAGCAGAGGAACACTGGGATTCACATCTTGTGTTGAACCTCAGAACTTCAGCAGCTCATCCTGCAAGGGCAGGAGGAAGGGGAGTCAATACCCCAAATCTCCAATCCCAAAAGAGCCACAAACACACCCAAAAAACGCAACACCACAGACAGAGCATGCGTTTTAGAAGCTAAAACCTCCCAACACCATGGGCAGAGTGTGTTTTACAGGTGAAAACCTCCCAACATAACCACATCATGACAATCCATGCTTAAACAAAAAAAGTTCTTGTCACGAGCAATTAAATTAATTTCAGGTAGCACCTCC